TCTTAACTAATTATAGTGTGTTCTGTTCTCTGATAGCTGACCATACTGAATAATATGTAACTTTTTATTATCTGGTATCTGCGTCGCGGAATCCATTTAAACCTTGTATTAAATAATAATAATATTATAGACTTCTCTGCCTTAATCTTGATATGTAGCCCTCAATTATTTCTGAGGCTGTTACTATTTCTGACTATAGTTCTTTAACTAATGATCTACTTTACCGCAGCTGAAGTACAAGCAGTCTCTTTTACATTGTTCAAGTTTCTTCTTAGATACTCGAGTCTCTTGAGTCTAATGCTGTGCTGTATCTAGCTCCATAGGCTTCAGCCCGTAAGGATCTTTGTATTCCAAGCTCCTAGGTTGTGCTGACCTTCCATTATTGGCTTAGTAACCTGGCTAGTTATTGCGTTGAGATATAGACCCGCTGATTCACTAACCCTCTCATTGTTTCATGTTAAAGTTATACAGCTTATTATCAATCTTTATTACTGCTTTAATCATTTTAACCAAGGTATCTGGTTGTTCTTACTAAATAATCTTCTCTTAGATCTTTATCTTAAGTCCTTCTTTAAATTATAAGATATAAGTATTATTATCCTAGTCTAGATAACTAATAACTTGTTGAAACTCCGAAGCATATGTAAATACTAATCCTATCTGCTTAAGTTATTATAACTTTTACTTAGTATTCCATACTGTATTAATATCTCTGAATATCTGTTTAAGACGCTGTTTAAATCTGGCATAACTAATAAAAAATCATTTTATATTATTATTCTGATTACTTACTAACTTTTCTTATTACTCGCGGATGTATGGTTTAAACTAATCAAATACCACTCTGATAAGATATGTAAACATGAAAAAGATCTTATCCTCTTTATTCTTAAGCTTTTTCTTATTCATGTTGAGGTACAAGTCCAACTGGGTCAAGAAAGCCCTGAGCTTCGCTTGTTTGCTGTCAAATGGCTCGGGTAGTCGGACCTTAACAGATTTAACTGATAAGCGACCTTCAAGTAACTAGTTCTTTTGTTTTAAGGCCGTGATGCTTTCTTGTAGCTGACCAACCATATCCATCAGTTCCTTGGTTATCGGGCCCTGCTGCTGAGGCGCTCGCAATATATTCAATATAGTTAACATAATGACTGGTTGTCACTGGGTAATACTTGTACTGACTGGTACTCAATATATCAAATCCTAGGATCACTTCTCCCTGTTCCTGTTAGCTTAGCTCCCGTTCCGATACGTACCTTGTAAACTGAATCAAAGATAGTCAGGCTGTTAACTATCTAAAGATGACTTGATCTTGAACAGAAAAAGAGAAGTAAGGCCAGATAGTGCCGTGCAGCTATCCGTAAGTAAGTACAGATGAGTGTTGTCGCTAAGCTCTACCAAAACATAGGTTACTTAAAGATAATTTGAATTGAGCACAAAGAACAGAACTAGCTAAGTACATGAAAGAGTGTCCTTATATCCTATCCTTCATCATGGCGTCGCCATGATATATCATGTCGCCGATATGTTATGTCATAGCACTGCCATGTCCTGTCATAGCACTGCCATGTCCTGTTATAGCGCTGCCATGTTATAGCGTGTCAGTGACATGTCCGTCGTGGTCACGTGTTGTGTAACCGTCCCGGTTTGTAGGCTGCTCCGATCAGGATTCTACTCGATAAGAGTCCTTGCTCTCCGGACGTGGCCTTCTGCCTAACGTGTCCGCCTTACTAGTTCGTTCAGCTAGCAGGGGTCTGTAACAATGCTAAAGTATATTATATTAAATTAAGATAAATTATTTATCTTAAAGTTCTAAAGATCACTTGCAGATCTTATAAAAATTAAAAAATAAATAATAATAACTTATTACCTGCAAATGAATGAGCAAATAAAAAGGGTTAATTAAATAATTAAATAATATTTAAAACACTACGTGAACTACTAGCAGAATAATTAAATAAATTTATTACTAATAATACAGTTTTTATATAATAATACTAGTTACTTAATTATTAGAGTATCACTGTTTTATACTAATTACAGTTATTACTTAAGGTTTCTGGAAACGCCATTAAAAAAATAGTAAGTTATTAATATAATTAAGAATATTATTATATTTACAGGAAACATATACTTATAGTTATCCTGAGATATTAAGTTTATAAACTTGTGTAGTAAGATATATTATAATTATAAATATAAAAAGAAACCTGATCTAAAAAGAGAGGAGAAAGTGTTCTTATTCTGTAAAAATATCAAGATAAAATAATCAAGTCAGAAGCTTGATCATTATAAGCTAGGACTATTTATTATTAAAGATAAAAAAAGACCGGTCAACTATAAGTTAAGGTTACTAAAGTTGATAAATAAAATTTATCCAGTGTTTTATATCTCATTGTTGGAACCTGTACTAAAGAATACTAGAATTATAGAAAATATAAAGATTAATAATAATATAGAGAAAGAATATAAAGTTAAAAAGATCCTAGACTATAAGAAGATTAGTGACAGGTCAAAGTATCTGGTAAAATAAGTAGAATATGATATTTCAGAAAATACATAAAAATCTATTAAGAATTTAACAGGCTATTACTAGCTTATAAAACAGTATTACTAGTAGACAAGTCGAAGTTCGCCCAGAAAGAAGGGGAGCTAACAAGTTAGGATAAATTAAGATCAAGCTCGGACGCGGCGGCTAGTTTAACACTATCTATAACAGTACTAGTCTTAATCTTAAATATTATAGCTTACTAATCACGCAGTCTTGCTTATACTTTATATTTCTTCTGCTCTTACTTCTCAAGCTCTTTCAGCTTCTTAATTTTCTTTATATCACGAGCTATAAAATTGCCAGCTTATCTTTGTAATAATTATTTTTATTTCTATAATTAAAAAAACTTTGCCAGAATGACTTCCTCCTCTTCTTTAATAGAATTTTAAGCCTTGACTAAACACTTCCATTCAGTGTCAGAAAAGAAAGAGTCAGGTATTTTATAATAAACACTGTTTGTTTTAACACACTTACTATAATAATCAGAATTTTCAGATTTGATACAAACCTTATAAAGACGAATACAGTACTTGTAAGAGAAAACTACAAGAAAATCTTTATCCTTAATCCACCAGTAAAGACTCTTCTTACAAACAAAAGAACTAGATAACATAATCAATAATCTAAACAAAAAGTTTTAGAAAATAATACCAAACACTCATCTCAGGAGAGAGGCACTGCAAATTTATGTTTCTTAGGGATAAGAAATCTTGAAAGAGGGAAAGTGGTGTTACGGACCCCTGCTAGCTGAACAAACTAGTAAGGTAGACTTATTAGGCAGAAGGCGATGTCCGAAAGGCAAGGACTCTTATCAAGTAGAATCCTGATCTGAGTAACCTACAAACCGGGACGGTTACACAACACGTGACTATGACAGACATGTCACCAACATGCTATAATATAGCAGTGCTACAACAGGACATGGCAGTACTATAATAGGACATAATAATACTATGATATAACATATCAACGATATAACATATCATGGCGATACCATGATAAAGAATAGGATATAAGAACATTCTCTTATATACTTAGTTAGTTCTGTTCTTCATGCTCAATACTACTGTCTTTAAGTAATCATATATTTAGTAAAGCTTAATAATAATACTTATCTGTACTTACTTACGGATAGCTGCACGGCACTATCTGGCCTTACTTCTCTTCTTCTGTTCAGGACCAGTTCTCTTTAGATAGTCATCGACCTGACTTACCTCGATTCAGTTCAAAGGTACGCCTTGGAATAGAAGCTAAGCTAACAGGAACAGGGAGAAGCGATCCTAGGGTTTGACACCGATATCATTTTAGTTAACTAATTATAAAATCATTATAATTGATATTGATATATATAATACAAATAAACCCCACTTAGTATCTTTTAGTATCTTAAACGGTCACAATATATGGTTAACACGATTACGCTACTCTACTTTAAGAGATTTATTCTATATATAGGATAGTTGCATCTCTCGCTTCGCACTCTTAAAACGGATTAGCAATCTTACTGCCGGCAATACTGGATGAACACAGGGTTGCACGATTATAATCGCACAAGGGCCCTATAAGTTGTTGGGATACAGTCTTCGTTCTGTCTGTTCTCCAGTTGGCCAGCGCTATATCATTTTGGCGTACTGGTAAGAATGCGACAGGTTATGAGCCCGGGAGCTAGATTTACCCCACTTAGCACCCACACGTGATATGTCTAAACCGGGACCATAAAGGTTGCAGGTTCGAGTCCGGGTCTAGTCAGCCCAAGACCGTGGCAAACCGCATAGAGTCATAAGCCCGTTAGCCTATATCTTCCTAACAGCCGGTCCGAGGGGGCAGTGTTGGGATACAGTCTTCGTTCCGTCTGTTCTCCAGATTAGTCATGAAGTATATAGATAGGTTAACTAACCGCACCTCGCCAGAAGTGTGCTGATACTTGGTACACTAAGCAGGTATTCCCGTACCCACTAAGTGTTTGTGGGGCTCTCAGAACCCCAGGCATGTAAGTCCAATAACTATAATTATTATTACTTACGTAGTCTTTGACTGTTTGACAGGCACCTGTTTCGTAGCGCACCGGAAAACCATTAGTCTTGATTATGCCTATCTTCACAGTAGCCAATAACCCCCTGCCCATGAATCCTCTTGTCCTGTGTATTGCCAGTCAACCTGTCTTTCTGCCCTTCCTCGAGACTTCCGCCCGATCCCTTTTGGTTGTTGAACCCCGGACACCGTCATCCTGCGTCTGATCTGCCAAGGACTGTCTGTCTCGTGAGCCACCCCCCGAAGCACTGCCATCACCGCTCTCTACACTCGTCTTGCATCCTTGGGAATAGTTGGTTCACCTCACTCTTGTCTCCGCTTTGGCGCGTGTACCCTCCATCCTATTGCAGCGGTTTCTCTGCATTGCTGTCCTTCTGATCCATCCCTTCAAACGGAGTCATTAGGCATTGCCTTACTTCTTATGTCGCTCTTCGATCTTGTGCGGAGCTTTACGAAAATTACCTGCTCTCCTTGGCTGTTATTCGTAGCGATCTCATATGCTGGTCGCGTGAAAGAGTGGTAGCAGAAAGGAAAAAAAGCTAATAATCGACCAAGAAAGGGGGCTGTCAATCGCAGCCCATCACAACCGTCAACATTCCTCCCACAACACCTTCAGCCCATACTTCCTCGAACATACCTTTGCAAAGTTTACACTCTCGTTCTCAGGCTTCATCTGCTAAGGCAGTTGAATCTACTAGTGAGAGGAGCAGTCGACGCTCTTCTCTGTTATCCACTCACTCCACTGGGACTGAAGATTTCATTTGGACTAACAGTGGAGACCTGGCTGAACGGATTACCGATGCCGAAGATCCTCTTCGTACCCGTCTCATAAACTCGTTAGATCGTGAGAGGTCTGATCGAGTAAATTCCAGTGTGCGGGTTGAAAGCCAGAAGCGTGTTCGTTACCCAGACAGGCCTGTCACTGGCGAAGACGGCAGTGAGAAGATTGAGATACCTTGTCCCCCGCCCCGGAAAATCTCACGAGCAGAGCGCCTACTAGCGATCATAATGTCCCCGAACAGTCGGCAGAACGCGCAGATACATGGCTTGGTTGGGAAACCATTGCTGTAAGGGTTCTACCCTTCGACGTATGTTACCTAAGAACCCTACTGACAAGAGATGTAGATACTTTACGAGCGTGTTCGTGTCTCTAGGCGTTTTCCTTTTTGGTTATGACCAGGGTGTCATGTCTGGAATCATAACGTGTGTCTCCCGGCTGACCCCGAGAAACTTTGCTGACAAAATATTAGAGGTTGGTATTTCAAGGATTACTTTAACCAACCCTCGCGAGCTGCAATAGGCACTGTGGTTGCAATTCTCGAAGTTGGGGCATTTATATCGTCCTTACTTGTCGGCCGAATCGGCGACTTGATAGGGCGTCGTAAAACGATCCTTTATGGCTCCATAGTTTTCTTCATAGGAGGCGCGTTGCAGGCCTTTTCTACGGGGTTGCCTATGATGATGGCCGGTCGTATCGTTGCCGGCTTGGGCGTCGGAGCATTGTCAACGATTGTACCAGTCTATCAGTCTGAAATCTCGGTATTTACAACTGTCCTTGCTAAATTTCGCTTCTACTCCCTTGCTGACATTTCTCCACAAGCCTCCGCATAGCCGCGGGAAACTAGCATGTATCGAGTTTACGGGAAATATCTCCGGATACGCGGCCAGTGTCTGGGTGGACTATCTTTGTAGCTTTATAGATAGTAATTACTCATGGCGCATACCATTGCTGTGCCAGTGCATCATGGGAGCTCTCCTTGGCGTGGGAAGCCTCATCATCTGTGAGTCGCCGAGGTAAGTTTGTGCACAAGCTGCTTGATACAGAACGCCTACATTGTGCTCACGCAAGACCAGATGGCTATTAGACAATGACTATGATGAAGAGGGTATGGTTGTCATCGCAAATCTCTATGGAAGTGGGGACCTGCACAATGACAAAGCCAGGCAAGAGTATAGAGAGATCAAGATGAACGTTCTTCTCCAGAGACAAGAGGGTGAAAGATCGTACAGTGACATGTTCAAGCGTTACTACAAACGTGTCTTGATAGCCATGTCAGCGCAGGCACTGGCTCAGCTCAACGGTATCAACGTTATCTCGTATTACGCCCCTCTCGTGTTCGAATCAGCAGGATGGGCTGGCCGTGATGCTATCCTGATGACTGGGATCAACGCGATCTCGTATCTGGCGTCTACTGTTCCTCCATGGTATCTTGTGGATCGCTGGGGAAGGCGGCCCATTCTACTCTCTGGGGCAGTTGCCATGATCGTTTCTCTCTCGTTGATTTCGTATTTCATATATATCGACGTTGTGGCCACGCCGACTCTCACGGTCATTCTTGTTATGATCTACAATGCTGCGTTTGGTGCGTCGTGGGGACCCATTCCATGGCTCTACCCTCCGGAAATTTTGCCTTTGAGTATTCGTGCGAAAGGGGCAAGTCTCAGTACAGCCACAAACTGGGCTTTTAATTGGCTCGTTGGAGAGGTCACGCCTGTCCTCCAAGCCGCTATCAAGTGGCGACTTTACCTCGTGCATGCCTTTTTCTGTGCCTGCAGCTTCGTCCTTGGTGAGACTCGATTCTATGTTTTCCACGTTTAACAATTTGTCTAATATATATCACCTAGTTTACTTTCTATATCCAGAGACGAGCGGAGTCCGCTTGGAGGATATGAATCTGCTTTTTGGGGATGCGACTACTGCTATGCCGACGCCGGCAACTCAGGGAGAGCGGGGCTCCCTCATGAGCGCAGGCTCGCCTGTGCCTTCGCTCGATATCAGACGCCAGTATGGCCATCTAGGGGCAGATAGTGCTATCCCGGGATTGGACATTGACCCACCAAATGTAAGTTCTAGTGCCAACACTAAGCCTCCTAGGCCCGGTTTCCGGGAGGATACTACAAATCGACTCGAGGGTTTCGGTGGTTGGATTTCGAAGATGATCACTCGAGATAAGGGATCGGAACTACCGGGACAGGGCGGCCAGTATAGACGTCTTGGACAAGAGGAGGAGAATGAATGAATGAATAGGGCCATCAGCTGTGGTTTAGTCTGATGTAGCAGATATATAAACTTCTTGTTTTTATGCCGACTTTGCCCGTGCTTCTACCCCATTGTTTCCTGTGTATACCTTGTTAAATAGCTGGATGGTATTCTTTCGTTTCATCGATTTGTTGTTACATCTTCACCAACTCTGGTCCCACTGAAATAGCTCTCTTCAAGTCCCGGTCATTTTCACTCATTTTTTTTCTTTCTTTGCGTAATATGAATATATGATGGTGATGGTGATGATGATAACGATTGTTCTACTATGGTCTAATGGTGCCTCCCTAATTGTTTGGATGGATACATAGACTTCTAATCGACTAAGATACAAGCGGTACCTTCGTTATATGGGTAATCATAGAGATTATACTTAGATCTCTCTATCATAGCCAGGCAATCCTCTTGTATAGGCATATAAAATCCGTGGAGAGATATATATATAAAATCTATTCTGTATGTATTCTTATACTAAGATAGTAAGTATCTTCTCTCTAGTACTGAATATAAATCTAGTCGCCCCTCCTCCAATGTAGTCCCCTAAACAGAGCTGATCGCCGCGGGATTCAAACCCGCTGCACTTGTTATAGACATGGATGGGGGCCCAATCATCGGATGTCTCTTCGGTGCCTGCCAGGTGATGACCACTACAACACCAGGCCACCAATGAATATATATATAGATCACCTACACCCGTGGGATGAAAGTATTCCATCTAGCTATCTTTCCTCGAGGGCTGGTAAATAAAAGTAGGGGGCAGTATATGGAGGACTGGAATATGACAGAACAGGGCCCAGACTTAAGTACTTCATGTGACATCCGAAGCCCGGAGCATCAAGTTTAGTAGATTCTAGTGAATATAAAAGCACAACAATATCTCTGATCTTGAACTGAGCGAGGAAAACATATCAATCGCAGCTACCCGGGCCTGGGTGGTATGTCAAGAACCGGCGGATGTTACTTGATCGCTTATTTAGGGCCCAAATTTGATTCAGGACTTCTTACATACTAGTAGTTGTTCTCTCGATTGAACAGGTTTGGGGGTGACATATTCCTTGTTCAGAGTCCACATATGTCTGCTTCAACATAATAACTACTACTAGAACTACGTATGTTGGCTAATGTGGCTGCGTGACAGACTATCAATACAATCCTAGTTACACATATTACCCTCGTGTATCAAAGGCAGTATGAACCAGGATTTCCTCTCAGCCCGGTCTTCCATGAGTGATGGTAAAGCTGTTGTGTAGGAGAAATTCTTCAAAATCCAGCAAGCAAGAAGCCTGCACAAACATAATAAATATAGATGTAAAGAAAGATTACTGCGTTGGAATTATGCTATAAGGAAATAGAGATAGTATAATACTATACTATCTCTATTTCCGTGACACACTGTATATGAAGTTAGAAAACAGTACTCGTCTTCTTTCTTTTACAGGTGCTGTTGACGGCTACAGGGTTCGAACCTCCGATTTTTTGTTGTAAACCTGGGTTGGGCTCCTAACCAGCCAGAGGTCACTTCGAAGCCGGCTCGGTGACCTACTACCATTCATAGCACTAAGTACTACTAAGGCACCCGACCAGACTTAGGCTACTATGGCGTGAAAGATACCGGTGTCCTATCACCATTAACCACCACTTAATCATGTGCATGGGATAACTACATGGACATAGAAAAATGATCAAATGAAGGACACTGACAACAACATTTCATTTAGAGTAGTAATTCCGTACCACCTACTCCGTAGAACATCTTGTTACCAGGTAGGTCGAGCAGGATTTTTGAAGCCTTGTCCAATCATAGTTAGTCTCGTACTCAACCAAGTACTAGATACTAGGAATTGAAAGTAAAGGGGCGATGCTTCTAGCTGACAAGTGCTAAAACATATCTATACCAAAGCCGATACGGAGTAGGGGTTTCAGAGAGTGGTCCAAGCGGGGCGGATGCTTTTAGACCACGCGCCCGAGCTTTCCGTGTTAAGTCCAGGCCAACTCTCCATTTGCACTTCCACTCCGTATTGCATTCTGAGTAGGGAACCGTCTTGGAAGACTGTCTGTCTTTCTCTTTCCCATCCTCGTCTTCTACTTAAACCCCCGGTTTAGCTTCCAATCCTTCTATTACACTATTTCATAACCTCCAAAATCCTTCAATTGTCACATTTCCTTCTAGGTCCACTCCTTTGACTCCAGAAAAGAGGCATTCTCAAGTCATATTAAGTTACTTCACCAACTTTCGTCTTCTGATCTAAAGCATCTTCATATCTTCATATTCCCTCATTACCCACATTTACAGAACCTCGGTGTACTCTACGCTAACATAGGTATTTTTGTTTCACTACTGGAGATGTTTGCCACTCACCTTTAAAGTCAATCTCAGTGAGCTGTTTTACATTTTAATCCCGCTTCCTGTGGCAGCCCGAGAGTACAAGCCTGCCTTCTCTTCTATCCCTGCATTCTTTTTTTATTCTTGATATACTTCCTCCCATCCTTCAACCATGGCAGCAATAAACATGGCGTCAAGCTCAGGAGTCAATTTTGCCTCTGAAGTACGGCGTAGAACTGTCCCCCGCACCGGAAAATTGAGCCATGCTCCTGATCATGAAGTATATGATGACGAGAAATCAAAGCCAGAGGTATGATACTACTCTCTGCACCCGAAGATCTTAACATGAGCACGGTCTACCGGTCAGTTGATATTATATTGATATGAGTCATAGCCTGCTTCGTTCATTTCTGCGGTAGCCCACTGGGAGCCTATAATTGCGCCACTTCTTTTGACAGCTTTCGCAATATTCACTCGCATGTATAATATTGGTCGTTCGAATATCGTGACATGGGATGAAGCACAGTAAGAGTACCATGACCACTCGCAGCCGTGCAGTGTTAACATGTTTGTCTTACATTGGTGTGCAGCTTTGGCAAATTTGGATCACATTATCTGAAGCGCGAATTTTATTTTGACGTACACCCACCACTGGGTAAGATGCTAGTTGGCTTGTCTGGGTTTCTTGCCGGTTACAATGGGTCATTCGAATTCAAATCTGGTGAGCAGTACCCCGAAGATGTCAACTATACGTTCATGCGTATTTTCAATGCTGCCTTCGGAGCGGCGTGTGTCCCTCTCGCCTATTACACTGCCCGAGAACTTGGTTTTCGCAAGGCCACTGTTTGGCTTATTAGCCTGATGGTGCTATTCGAAAATTCATATGCCACCATCTCACGCTTCATCCTCCTTGATTCCATGCTACTGTGCTTTACATTCACGACCACACTGTGCTGGGCGAGGTTCCATCGGCTACAGAGTGCTAGCTTTTCGACTGAATGGTTCGCGTGGCTTTTTCTCACCGGCGTTAGCATTGGCTGCGTCTGCAGTGTCAAATGGGTCGGCTTTTTTTGCACTGCGATTGTTGGACTCTATACAGTTGAAGATTTGTGGAACAAATTCGGTGACCTCAAGATGCCCGAGGTAAGCGCTTCAAAAGACTGTTAACCGTTGGCTCGATCGCAGTCTAATTCTTTGGCAGGTTGTGGTGGCCAAACATTTTGTTGCCCGCGTAGTGGGCCTGATCATCGTGCCTTGCGTTGTCTACATTCTGTCCTTCTATATCCATTTCTGGATCCTTGAAAATAGTGGCCCTGGAGATGCGCAGATGAGCTCGCTTTTCCAGGCGAACTTGAAAGGCACCGAAGTCGGAAAGGATAGCCCTCTCGAGATAGCGCTAGGATCGAGAGTGACGCTGAAAAACATGGGGTATGGTGGCGGGCTTCTCCATTCGCATATTCAGACATATCCGGAAGGGTCAACACAGCAACAGGTCACATGTTATCACCATAAGGATGCCAATAATGACTGGTTCATCTATCCCAATCGTTATGAACCTGAATTTGACCCCGAGGGCCCTTTGAGATTCATTGGCGATGGTGACATTATCCGTCTAATTCATGGACAGACGGGTAGGAACTTGCACTCACATGCTATATCTGCCCCAGTCACTAAAAGCCAGTTCGAAGTGTCTTGCTACGGTAACATTACTATTGGCGATGACAAAGACCACTGGACAGTTGAGGTTGTTGATGATGTTGCCTCCAGAGACAGGACCAAAATTCGGACTCTGACCACTGCATTTCGCTTAAGACATCCTGCCTTGGGTTGCTACTTACGTGCAGGGAATGTAAACCTTCCACAATGGGGTTTCAAACAGATTGAAACTACATGCGTGAAGGAGAATAAACCCAGTGATGTTTACACGCATTGGAATGTCGAGTCTCATTACAACGAAAAACGTAAGTTGATTCTTTCTTCATGAGTTAGGCTGCATGTTGTGGCGAGCGTGTATTGACATCGGTGTCTAGTTCCACCTGGTGATCCAGGGTCCTACAAGTCCCCTTTCTGGAAGGACTTCATTCATTTAAATGTTGCCATGATGACGTCCAATAATGCTCTTGTTCCCGACCCCGATAAGCAAGACGATCTCGCCTCCAAATTCTGGCAATGGCCGATACTCAATGTAGGCCTTCGTATGTGTTCGTGGGACGACAACACAATCAAATATTACCTTCTGGGCAACCCCATCGTCTATTGGGGAAGTACCCTGAGTCTTGCCACCTTTGGGCTTTTGGTTCTTTGGTATATCGTGCGTTGGCAGCGAGGCTATAATGAACTTACTCAAGCGGACATCAGTCACATTCACTATTCCGGCCTGTACCCAGTCATTGGATGGGTGCTGCATTATCTACCTTTTGCTGTTATGGCACGAGTGACCTATGTCCACCATTACTATCCGGCTCTCTACTATGCCATACTCACGTTCGGGTTTTGTATTGACTGGTTCACTCAAGGGATGAACAAGAAGTTGCGATGGGTGGTTTACGCTTCCCTTTACTGCATTATCATCGGCATGTTCGTGTACTTTCGAGCTATTGTGTTTGGCATTGAAGGGTCCAGTCAGCAGTGGTCTCATTTGAATTGGCTCAATGGTTGGCGGATTGCGAATTGAGTTGCTTCCGCATCACCACCACCCCTTTCCTCTTTCCTTATCATGACAATTTCTGTCATAATTACACTTGCTATACAATATTAAACTTTTGTACCAAACTTCTGCATGTATGCTATTGCCCTCTTGTGAAACATATGTAAAAGGTAGTTTGTTATTGTTTCGGGATGAGAACCATGCTTCATTATCCCCATAGCGGCTATGAGCATGTTCAGTTGCTCTCTTTTCATGAACCTTCCTCTGGCCCACCCCCTTTGCCCTTTACCTTCAATTGAACGAGAATAGGCATAAACGAGTATGTGCAGGTGACATGAGATCAAGGGAGCCTAGGTTGACTGCGCACAACCTCACATGGTGACCGTAGAGGGCCCACACATCTGGATAGGATATAATTGCGTGCCACCAGTGGAATATACGCTCAATGTAGAGGATACTACTGCCTTGAAGAGCGGGCTAACAACAGCCTCCGGCCAGGCCGTTTCCACCTTTGCGCATAGCATCGTCCAAGCCCAAAGTGACCGTTTTTGGAATACCTGGATTCGACCCGCCGGTAGCACCATAACCCTTGACTCCGCTTCGACGGTCGCAGAGATCGTACCTACCAGCTTCGATGTTGCGGTAGATCATCTCGGCCACCTCGAGAAACGCACGCTCAACATTCTCACCGGATTTTGCGCTCGTCTCAACGTAGCGTGTGATATTATTCAAGCGGCACCACTCCTCCGCTTCTTGCCTAGTAACTCGCCTTTGATGCGATCTTTCATCGCCTGCGAGATCACTTTTGTTCCCAACCAGAATAACTACGATTCCGTCTTCCGCAATTTGCCGTAGGTCTTGGAGCCATTGTGTACACGATATAAAGGTGGAAGGTCTCGTGATATCAAAAACCAGGAGAGCACCTGAAGCGCCACGAAAATAAGAGCGTGTTATGGATTTGTACGTTTCTTGACCAGCCGTATCCCATAGGGACAACTTCATTCTTTTCTGAACCTCCTGTGCCCTGCGCGGAGGGCTAGGCAGTCCAGAGGCGACTGGTTCGCTAGAGGTAGCCGTGGCGGGCAGCGAAGACGAAGATGGAACTGATGGGGTACGATTGCGAGTAGAACTGTCAAACTCTCCTCCCAACCCCCTCGAAGCTGGCGGGCCCACTGGAACAATCCGTGAGCCGAACTCGACGCCGATTGTAACATCATGGGAGGAGGAAAAGCGGCCTTCGCAGAGCCGGATCGTCAACTAGAAAGCCGCGACCGTGTCAGCGTTATGGCGACCTTGTCAAGCGTGAGTGTACCCACACTAGACTTCCCAGTGCCTGAGTCGCCGATACAGACAAGCTTAGCAATATAGTCCCATGGCTGTGACATGGATACAACAGAGGAATGGTTTGCGGTCACTTGGGAAGTATGTGAATTTGATTTCGGTCAATTGATGTCCGTGGATTTATATTACTGTTGAAATCATGCACCGAAAATTCAACTTGTGGAAGGTGACTCCAAAACGGATAATCGTTTTGGAAAAGTAGAAAGGATGTCCCGGCCTGCGCTGGTCGTATGATGGGGATGGGTAAGCTCCCTGGGCTCGATGCTCAGCACGGGGATCTGTTTTTACGTCCAGCCTTACTAACTAACCCATGTTGGGTATAACACTGGATCCCAACTTAGGTGCGGCCAGTGGGTGGCATGTATTACTAGTTTCCACGGAGGACTCCGGACCCGGTACCACCATACCACAGCTTTGGTGGAGCCAACGAATACTACATACTACCAGTACCTAGTAGTTACCAGTAGTTGTTATGTAATTCTAATGTACTGCGTAGGGAATAGTGGCGGTCAGTGCAAACTAGATAGGCATTTATCAGAGCAAAGCATGACCGGAAACTATCGACTGGCTACACCTCCATTGTAAAGTTCCGGGTGAGTTAGGTCTGTTTCCTGCTCCTTACACCGGGTGCAAGTCCCCCTGTGCATCTTGCATCCGTCAACGAACCAGTGAACGAGCAGATTCGACGGATGGGGGTTGGATGAATGCTGAGTCATCTATCACCATGACCTTGCCTTATGACGCTCGAAACTCACCTACTGATAGCCAGCAAGTCCTATGCTCATACTCTTTCTGCCTGTCTGGGCCCTCTCACTCCATCCATCACCCCGTCCTTTATTCCCTAATGGACAGTCCTGCCCTCTTCGGCTTCTCTGCTATGTAGCCCTGAGATCTCCACCGAACTTCACCTGCATCGGGTTTATACCATTCACCGAGAAAGCTCACCGCTCCACCTGCAATAACCCGACGTTAGGAGAGAGCCAACCCGTCGGGCTTAGCAGTTCTTTACTCGAGGGTTAAGAGATAGAGGGAAGAAGAAAGAGCAGGAAAGAAAAAAAGTTGCGAAGACCAGAGAGAGAACAGAATTCGAGATGTTCTCCGAATGTATGGTTCCCTTTGGCCACTGTGCTCCGAGTCATGTTATTCACTGCTCACTATTCATTCAGATGCCTCCCGATTCCTTGCACAGTCCCAGTCACGGGTCATGACTCAACCAGATGATGCCCGCAGAAAAGGACATGAGCGGCTTTTGCAACAACCGCGAAATCCTCTCTTACCATCCTCGCGCTCATTATTCCACAGAAATACGGCCGACCCCTACCAACCGGCCGGTTCTCAGATATCCAACTTCCCTTTCGGCTCGCGGACTCTGGCTCAGCCCGCGCCTCTTTTCTATAGTGCCACCGACGAGTTTCGAGAGGACGATGACGAGACCGAGCACGAGCGGGAGATTTCCGACTTCTATGCCTTGCAGAAATCGCGGCGCCAGTTTGGAAGTAGCTATTTGAGGGAATCTTCCGAGATCGACGACGACAACGACTCTGAAAATTTGGACGAACAAAAGCCACCGGATCGTGAATACGCTGGTGCAAAAGGGATTTGGAGTTCCTGGCGCGATGCCAACCCCAACGGCAGAGCCCAGGATTTGCGCGCTGACTACAGGGGGAAGACACGCCAATCAGGAGGCGCAAACCAAGCTGAACGAAGCAGCAGCAGGCTCAGGGGAAACTTAGTTGACATACGTTTGGAAGATACACTCGCATCCGACGTCGATGCCGATAGGGCCGACTCTCCTGGATTTGGTGATGACAACCCACCCTCCGTTCAATGGTTCCGAGAGCAACCACAATCGCGAATGGGCAATATTGGGATAGACTCATTCCTCATCCCAATAGAATCAGAAAACGCAGTAGTGCCGGAAAGATCTCAGCCATCAGAATTACCTGGCTCCTATCAAAGGTCGGCTGCCCCTGTAAGCGCGAGCTCACTCACTCATGACGCTTTCTGGGGTCAGTTGTTCTTGATATCCGTGGCGTGTCTTCTTGCTACTTCGTTTCTTGTCTACCTCCACACCTCTCCTCCTTCTGGTGACAAGTCGAAATGGGGTGACACGGTCTATCTGACCATACACAGTTCCTTCTACTTGCTCGGAATTTATACCGTCGTCTCAATCTCCATATCTTTGCTCTGGCTCACACTGTTACGTTCTTATGTCCGCCCGTTGGTTTACGTCGTCATATTTGCTGTTCCCGTAATCATGTATTCATTCTCCCTCTATCCTTTCATCTCGAGTTTTGGGGGTGCCTGGCATGGATCAAGCGTCCAGGACAAAGTCATGAGATGTGGGTCTATTGTTCCATTTGTTATGGCTAGTGCGTGGATTTACAATGTCATCCGGGGCCGCCGTGCCATAGGAAGGGCAGTCGATATACTCGAGTTTGCATGCCGCATCCTCGCTGTAAATCCAGAGCTTCTAGCCTTGGGCCTTGGCGCCCTCGTGCTGATTGTCTTATGGACCTGGCTGTGGATGCTTATGTTCACGCGAGTGTTCCTGGGGGGGCATGTCTCTCGATCAAGCCTCTTCGTCGTCGATTTAAGCAGTTGGTGCTTAGGAGCTTACTATATCTTCGTCTATGCATGGTCATTGGGAGTCATTGCTGGTATCCGACGTACGGTCACAGCTGCAGCAGTGAGTCAGTGGTATTTTCATCGCTTTACGACTCCGACTCCGACGTCCAGACAAATTGTCCAGGCTGCAACTTTGCATTCTGTTACAACCCTATTTGGCACGATTTGCCTGTCGAGTCTTTTGGCTCTAATGGTCCGGGTCCCTCTTTTGTTGGTTCCCAGTCGCATTGCCTCCCTCCTGAGCTTCTGCGCCTATTCTTTCGTTCCAACTCCTATAACTGCCATCACAGATCCCCTTACCCTTACGTATGCTTCCATTCATTCCCAGGCACTTACGGTATCTGCTCGTGGCCTGGCACAGATGACAAATCTTGCCCCCTCGATAGCCACGTCTTCCCTGCACCCGCAGTCGTTCTCTTGGTCTCGTGGGAACTCTGCAACTCTCCTTTCCTATCGGCTTTCGAAGCTCATTCTGCATGCCGCTCGTTTTATGATGTCCCTTGCGCTAGGATTTGGTGGCTGGGTGAGCACTGCTCGAAGCTTAAGCGTGGCAGGAACCAACGGTTTGATACGCGGCAGTATGTATGCCTACATGGTCGGGTTCATTGCTGGGACGATTGGCTGGAGTGTCTTGGGTGCAATCGAAGGCGTAATTGCAGATATTGTCGATGCATCGATTATGTGTTGGAGCAGTGAGGTTGGCACTTATGGTCGGGAAGCAAGGTACTGCCGAGAGGCTGGCTGGCTCTTTGGCCAAGAGCTCGCTTCGGATTCTAGGCATACACGTTTTGAAGGACCTTGAGTGATTAATCGCTCCTAAGCAGGCGTGCCCGTGTCATGTCGAGGCAATGACCATACATGGTTGTTGACGTACTAGTGCCGAATAACCATCCTGTTGGTGTTAGAAGTTGAAGGGCCCATTGTCTGATCAGATGTTGACGTTAGGAGTTGGTGATTACATAGGTTTCGGCTAGTCCAGGGCTATCATTCTACCTTTTCATCTTTCTACGGTAATTGCTGCCGCTAAATGGACGAGTAACGCAAATCTATTGTTTACATGGCTTTTCTCACACCTTATATTATCTCAGTCCTTCGCCTCTTGGAGTCAGGCTGTCAATCTTCTGAAAGTTAAATCGACTCGATTATTCTGGTCGTAAGAAATGAGACCCTATTTCCGACCTAGTAGGAGATGAATTTCATTGCGACAGTATATCTTTCAACACCTGCAGCCCTAGCTACCTGGCTCAAGCTCCAGGCTCAATACCCACGCTAATCTAGGCAGCAACCATTCGATCATGACTGTTCGCCTTTGATGTATCTCACAGACATAGGACTAAGGCAAGAGAAAAGAGCACCTGGCCGCCTTCTAAGCATAAGCATATACAACCCGTGGTATCATGTATCAACAGCAGGCAAAAAGAAATTCCTTGGACACCTGTTGCCACAAACGCCAACTGAAAGTCATTGCAACAGAGTAGATATTGTGACGTGAAAAGTAAAGGCGAATGCATGATACAAATCGTCACATTTACAGCTTAAGTCGGCTGCTCCATCGTACACCTTCCTTCATGCACCATTCACTCAGAAATGCATGGCTGAAGCGAATTATCTCCAGAGGAGAATTGATCCGTCCAACTGGCAAGAAAAACTCACCAGAATACTCGCCAGCTTTCAGGCGGTGCTTCCCCAACTCAGAAAAATTCCTGGATCGTTTCGACCAAGTGCCTGGAAATTCGCGAGCAAGCACATCTTCAGAAAGACCACGGGAGCCTTCAAGCCATAATTTCTGAGATTCCTTATAGCATTCGGGCAGACGGTTCTTCAGCTCAAGAAGCTCCCTTCGATTCTTTTTATGTTCTTCTGATGCAGCGGCAGCTCCATCGCTTCCTGGAGCGGGCACGGGTGTGTTCTCTCCGGGCAAGGGTGTGGCAGCAAGCCGTTCAAGGTCAAGCGCGTGGATAGCATTATATGAGATAGCGCCGAGGATCAGGCAGAGGTTATATAGTCGCGGATAGAGAGCACTGTTCTTTTTTACCACACGCCAATATGCGAGGATGGATAGCCAAGAAGACGAGTCTGCAGCTTGGCGAGATAGAGTTTTAAACTGATCATCAGCAACAAATGCTAGAATGAAGCAAAGGATAGCCTCAATTGCTGTAGCGGCCGCGAGTTTTTCGTCAACGGCAGTTACATGATCTTTGGCTGTGTGTCGTTCCGCTGCATGCTTTAATTCACGGCCCAGATTCGCGTATTTTTGATTCTCGTCCTTCCAAGCGCGACGGTCACAATGACGAGAAGCCATATCGCTTGGTTGCGGAGACGAGCATTTTGAAGGGGTAGCTAAATTCCCGGGACGCTTAGCGGCTGAGTGAGAAGAGGGCCTCCCGTCGTTGCCACTAGACGGATCCAACCGGCTGGCAGAAGACTTGAGGTCTTTTACCGGGGTCAACGAACTTCGTTTCTGCCTGTCTGGTGGGTTTACTACTGCTTTCGGAACATAAGGCACAGGAGTTTGAGGTTTTTCTGGAACCTTTGTGTGCTCTCTCAGGGTGGATGTTGTCGGCATGTGTTTCCCTTTCCATTCAAAGCGCTGTGACTTGTTGTGATCCTGCCGGTCAGACGGCGGCGCCTTCGCTGCGGCTTGCCTGGCTTTCGAAGAGTGGGAGGGCTCAATGTCTAGCGCATTCTTCACAGGTGAACTTGGCGGGGCCGATTTCCTCTTACCGGAAAATTTAAGGAGAGCCTCGATTCGCTTTCTGTTTGATCTTCCATACTTTAATTTGACTAGTTGCGACCTAGCTGAAGCAGCCTGTTGAGGCGGCGGTGAGCCGATTAGGCGTTGTGTCGGATGTCCCATGTGGGGTTGTAAGTCGGCTCTTGCGGGCAGAGAGGCATCGTTAGTCGATATATCCGTACTTGAGGGCGTCCGTTTGTCATACCCATGATGGGGTTGTTTGCTATGCGAGCTGAAAGTAGCTGCTAAGTCTAACTGTGGAGAGGCGTGGAGGGCAGACTTGGCCTTCTGCACTTTGGATCCCGATGATACATCGACATTGGGAACGCTACCGGGTTGCGATGAGCCTAAGCCCAAGAACCCCTCGCCAAACCTGGCCAACTCTTTCTCGATGTCCGGAGGCAGCGTGGGAGATAAAAGCCGAGGTAGTCTTGGGCTGCTTGAAGTTGGGGGAAGGGTCGGTGAAAGAAGAGCAGGTAGTCCATTCCCCTTCAGCCGGTCGACTTTCGCAGGGTCTGGAGATGTCCTTGGCTTTTTGGAAAGCATTGAGCCCTTTTGTTGTGACCTCAAAGGTTCCTGATTGATTTCAAGTGGGCGTTTGCGCTCGAGGCCTTCGGTATTGGCCACGGCTCGTGATTGGACAGCATGAGGCTTTTCCACTGGCCTCCGCAAGTCATTGCCAGCCAAGCTAGCTTTAGCAGCTCGTTGACTGACATCGGGAGAGTGAAATACCGAGGCGCTTTGGTTAGCGGCTCCGTGACCGATAGGGGAAGCGGAGGTGCCACTCTTCCTTCTATTCTTGTAGTCATTTAGACTTATCTTCTTCTTTACAGAATTGTGTGATGGCGTGCTTGCAGCACTTTGAGCCCCGGAACGCTGATCGGACATGACGTTCCCTGTCGCGTCAGACCAATCACCCACAGCCACTAGCAAAGAATCTCCTTCGTGATGTGTGAGGAATGTCATATATTGCAGCTGTTGTTCCTCTGGCGTGAATGGCCCGTCATTACTCACTGCCCAGTTGTTGACAAAGCGACTCCCGAGGCGGAAAGGGACATCAGTGGGAACAGTGAGGAGAAAAGGGTAGAACGGGAGGACTTCTTCCCTGAGTCGCTTTAATCGTTGGTCGACTGAATTTTGGTCGGCGTTATATTTCTGTTCGTTGATAAACCTTGGGGTTCTTATTTCATCATCCGCGAAGCGAGAGGGCTGGTCCCCCGACATTGCAGTCCGTTGATCAAGCGCCTATGTGATCAATGGCGAGCAAGCTCTTTCAGAGTTTGGCATCAGAGTGAATCCCAAGTTCTGCTTCCTTCTCTTTTGGCCTCTCTGGAGGGGGTCAGCCCCCAATACTTTCATGTGGCTCCGCTAATAGGTATTCAATTGATTCAGGGTCGTAGAACATCCGACTTGTCAAGGACAAGATAAGCGACCAAATGCGATAGAGTGGGGATCGCTATACCAACTAGCTTTCACACTGTCCCTGAAACCCCTTCCCCTTTTCCTCGATGCCTCTTGTTGAGTCTCACAGCCTTTTTCTGCTTCGTTTATTTAGGTCAACTGTTTCCGAAACTGCGGTCTGGGCCCTTTTGAAGAACCGAACCACAAGATAACAAAACCGTTCAACCACACAAGCGCGTTGAGTATGGCAGGCTTCCCTGAAAACCAGCCGGGCTGTAACTGGCGGATGAAAGATGCTGTATCAAAAAGTGCCTAGAGTGAGGAATGCAATAAGGAATCATCCCTAATCTGTCGTACAGGCAAGCGTCAACAAACAGCCAATGTAAGCCGGAGCTAGAACGGAACGCCGGGGGCCATAAGGATAGAAGACAGGAGCCTCCGGCTCGCTTGAGTTGATGTGCGCAAGCGACAGGGGAGAGGGAAAGGAAAAAGGAGGACCGAGGAATTTCCTCTGGAGATGGGATCGCCTTTCTGTCCGACAGTGAGGGTGAGTTGGGGAGTCGCGACTGGGATGCTGGCCGACGGCCGAAGCGGAGACGCTTGGCAGTAATTTATTCGCTGGAGAGCGGGTCTGTGATCTTAAATGGCGGTACGGAGTCGGTCGTCCTCTATTCTCACCTATTTTCATCATCTATTCTGTCCAGCCCATTTCTTTATCCTCCTCCCGTATTAAAGTAGAGCCTTCAGTCGACAAAGGAACCGGTTTTGTGAGCCCGACTACAACGTAAACTTTCGAAAAACAATATCCAACGGATTTTATTGGCCCAGAATCGCAGCTGCGAACCAAAGACTGGATGTTAATACATACAGCGCGGAAATTGACAGTGGCCCAACATACAGGGGTGCCCAGCTGGCCAGTCTCAAGAACGATCGGATGCCGCAAACTTCTTCTGCCAGAAAGCCCTGAAACGCTTCTGCTGACCGGCAGTGAATATCTCTTCAACCTCTCTAGGAGTCAACTGGAAGGTCAAAGCACGCAGATAGCTGCTGAGGTGGGATTCCTTGCTACTGGTCATGATTGATATGCCGCCACGGTCCATAGACCACCTCAAAAAGGATCTCCCCTTCACTAACCGCATACTTTCTTGCTAAATGTGGCAGCAGGCCATCGAGCGGACCCCCCTTGGCCCGAACGATGGGGGCCAAGGTTCCATAACTGGCAGTCGTGATACCTCGATGCTCATGGAACTGCAGTAGATTGTCATGCTGTAGGTAAGGATGAAACTCAGTCTGGTTAATGAATGGCGGGATAGTAGCTGTCTCCAAGACGGCCTCCAGATGGCCCTGTAGGAAGTTGGAGACTCCGATTGACGGCGCCTTTCCAGCAGCTTTCACTCTCTCCATAGAAGCCCCAGCTTCCTGAAGATCGCTAATTCAGTGTTGGCAAAAAAGGGCGAGTGAATCAGATACCTGGGGTACAGCACCCATCAGCCCTCGGACCTTACAACCACTGAGGGGTCGTTCAGATTGTAGAAGGACATGGTTGGGCGCAATTACCTACAGATCAATGTAGCTGAGTTGGAGCTTTCGCGAACTTGTGTCGATGGCCCGTGGGATATCTGCAATGCTTACGCCAACCTTACTGGTCACGAATAGCTCCTCTCGCTTCTCGCCGCTCTCTCGAATGGCAAGGCCTAGTTCAGCTTCAGTACCGTAGATCTCAGCGCCATCGAGATGGAGATACCCCAGTCGGATTGCGGCCTTGATGGACTCCACTAGCTCTCGGTTGATCCGGGTGCCCCTTCCTTCTTATACCACGCTGTACCGCTGCCATATCCAAGTTGCTTCCGTTACCTCTGTGTTCAGAGAGAGCTGCTCACCAACCATCAGGTGTAGCGAGAGTGGGTACCTATGCACACCTGAACTTACCTGGGGAATGACAGAATTTCCCAACTAGACCAAACGAGATACCTCTCAGGTTAGTGGAACAATTCCAAGGTGAATAGTTTCCAACAGGGAATACATGTGCCGTCGTTCAATCTGACAGACGGCACGGCTTTCATCGTGTTGGCTATCTTTGAGGCCGGAGTGATCGCTGGATGGTAATCATTCTAATGGAACTGGGGGTACGGAGGTCTACTGGAGGGAATATGTGTAGAACGGATGATATATTTGTTCCATAATGGCGGTTCAGTTCCGTTCGGAGTGTACTATGTCCAACCAATCCAGCTCTATCAATTGTTCACGCGTGTGAACGGCCAAGGGCCTTTGTGGCACACCGATATCCTCGGCCTTTGGTGTAGAGCAAGGCCTGTCCATCTGGCCAACATGCAATCTACCTACGATAAGCTTTCCCTAGGTATGGTTTTCGAGGCGCGCAGCGCTGAGAAACCTACACTATGTTAGATCCTGGATAGGGGAAATTTGCAGCGGGAAGGCATCTGATTGGTCCACAAGGCACCCGGCTTCAGCTTCTTATTGGTTGCTGCGAGTATCCGTAACGTGACTTGCTCTATATTGCCAGTGCTCACCGCTTCGCCCCCTAAGCTAAGGCGCTTCGGACGGAGATGATGATGTCATGGCTCAGTTTCGCCTCGCCGACTCCTTGTGTAAATTGCCTGTGTTAAGTTAACTAACTACGGAGTTGGAGATAGCTACTAAGACTATCTTATAGCGAAGTGAAACTGCTCCCGATTATAGTAGACTCCCTGGTAAGGGCCGTGTTATTCAAACTTACACATCCTTCGCTTGTTGCATTGGGATTCCCATGCGCCTGTCCATTGCTCGGGCTGGCCTTCTCCGCGCCCATTTCATGCCGGCTCGCAGTCCTCTGTACCCGTCACAGACCCTCCGAAACCATCTGAGCCAGATGACCTCGCAGCTACCTGACACTGATGGACGGCTTTCGTTGACAAGCCTCCCGAAGTCCAATGTCTTCACCTCCAAACTCCCACCTGACCCGGCCTTTGAGACTCCCGAGACATCCCATGGAGCCCCTCGTGAGGCTCTCGGCCCACGCCTGGTGAGAGGTGCGCTATATACCTTTGTCAGGCCCGAGCCAGCAGAGGAGAGTGAACTTCTGGGGGTCAGTCCCAAGGCCATGGAAGACCTTTGTCTTAAATCTGGGGAAGAGCTTACACCCCAGTTCAAGGCATTGGTTGCGGGGAATGACTTTTGTTGGAATGAAGAGGTCGGGGGGATATACCCATGGGCGCAATGCTACGGAGGTGAGACGCATTATCGACCTTCTAAGCTCTCAAGCCAAGTATGGTAACCACTAACATCTTCTAGGATGGCAATTGTACGTCACTCAGTAGTAAATATTGATAGATCTCGGAGTTGACAAAGTGTAGCGGCTCGTGGGCTGGGCAGCTTGGGGATGGAGTAAGCCTTTGCTTCTAGTTGTGAGCTCGACTGAAAATTTAACCTCTGCCAGCGTGCAATCAGCCTTTTCGAAACCACAAACCCGAGGACCAATACCCGATACGAAGTACAACTCAAAGGCGCTGGGCGGACCCCTTATTCCCGTTTCGCCGATGGAAAAGCTGTTCTTCGCTCCAGTATTAGAGAATACATTGCATCAGAAGGTATCGCATTGCCACTTCCTAAACATATACCGTGGACTAACTTTAACTTAAGCCCTGTCTGCGCTCGGTGTCGCGACCACTCGAGCTCTGTCTATCACTCTATTGCCCCAATCGAGGGTGTTGCGGGAACGCATTGAACCTGGTGCCATAGTAGCCCGATTTGCTGAATCATGGTTAAGGATTGGAACCTTCGACCTTCTACGTGCACGTGGTGATCGCACCCTGATCAGGCAGTTGGCGACGTACGTCGCGGAGGACGTATTTCAAGGGTGGGAGGCTTTGCCAGCAATGGTAATGTTGGATCAAAACCAGTCCTCTGATGCCGTGGACAACCCCCCTCGACAGATTCCCTGGGACCAAGTTCAAGAGCACCAGGGTGTGCAAGAAAATCGGTTTGCGAGGCTGTATCGAGAGATTGCACGACGCAATGCTAAAACCGTGGCTGCCTGGCAAGCATATGGATTCATGAACGGCGTCTTGAACACCGATAACACTTCCATATATGGCCTGTCGCTAGATTATGGTCCATTCGCTTTCATGGACAACTTTGATCCGCAGTATACGCCTAATCATGATGACCATCTCTTGAGATACTCGTACAAGAACCAGCCTACTATCATATGGTGGAATCTAGTTAGGCTTGGAGAGTCTCTGGGAGAACTCATTGGAGCTGGAGATGATGTTGACAAAGAAGGATTTGTGAGAGATGGCCTGACCGGGGAGGCCGCGCCTGCTGCTATTCAGTGTGCGGAACAGATCATTGACCGCACAGGTAACGAGTTCAGGATTGTGTTCCTGAATGAATATAAACGCCTTATGAGCAATAGGTTAGGGTTGAAGAACCAAAAGCATTCGGACTTTCAAGACTTATTCTCGGAATTGCTCGACATGTTAGAGGCTCTGGAATTAGATTTTAATCATTTTTTCCGGAGGCTATCAAACCTACCACTGGTGGACATTGAGACTGAAGAGATGAGGAAAGAGATAGCATCGATCTTCTTCCACAGCGAAGGGTTCGGTGGCATCGGATACACTGAGGATTCCGCAAGGCAACGTGTTGGAGACTGGCTTGACAAGTGGAGACATCGCATTATAGAGGACTGGGGTCCTAAACATGATCTAGAGAGACAAAATCTCATGCGGAGTACAAATCCGAAGGTATTTCATCAGTTCCTCTGCCGCTTTTCCTTCATGCTAATTGTGGACACTTCGTAGTTTTTGCCACGCGGTTGGGTCCTCGACGAGGTTATTGAACGCGTGGAACGCCGAGGAGACCGAGAAGTCCTTGCCAGGGTAACGCATATGGCACTCAATCCCTTCAATGATGAATGGGGGCAGAACCGGGACGAAGAGGAGCGCTTTTGTGGGGATGTCCCTAGGTTCAAGAGAGCCATGATGTGCAGCTGCAGCTCCTAAAGTTTACAAGCCTCGGAGCCTTCTATACTACCCGCTTGATATAACAGTAAAAAAGGTCTGACTACGCCGGAATCGATGAATTGTTGTCCGTTAAACTCAATAAACAGGATATACAGCGCAGACACAATGGAGATGAGATCACAATGGAATGTTTCACCCTTTCTTTCCCATAGAAATGGAGAACACTCGAACAATTTGCTGGAGAAGGGGGACGAGCAAGGAACAAGTTGGCTATTATGGAACCGTGGATTAAGATTGCTTTCATATGCTAGTTTTAGTGGACATGTTTCTTTTCGCATTACACAAGAATTCACATATTTGCCCACCCGCAACCTAGGCTACCACTTAACAGTCTCGCGGACCGACCTTCCCATTTTTGTTTTTGGAAGACTGGACGTCGTCCATTCGACTCCATGGTAAATGGATGTCATTTTGGATATCTTGTCAGCCGGCGGGGAAGCCAATCAGAGACAGGCTCGTAAGCCGAGTCGTGCAATAGGATCAGGGAAAAACGGGAAGGAGAGTATGTGGATCATCACGAAGAGCGCGATAAAGGACAGTATCCCCATATCCTGATCCTGCATATGATAGCGCGACAGAAGACAAACGATGCAGCATGCAGGCCAACCTATTAGTTAGGGCAGGCAGCTTGGACGTGTCCAGGCTGCTTGCAGTTGTAGCACACCCGCTCACCCTTGGCCTCAGTAGGACAGTCACGGGAGACATGTCCGACCTCTCCGCCTAGGAACACAATTAGCGCCTATGCGTGTGATACGGGACAGGAAAGCACGGTAGTATTAGCTTACAGTTGTAGCACTTCTGGCCATTGGTGCAGTCGCGAGCCATGTGGCCGAAACCGCCGCAAGAGTAACACGTTTGCTGACGGCCACCAAATCCGCCACCATAGCTACCGCTCTGGGGGCAATTCCTAGCGATGTGGCCGACCCGACCACACTTGTAGCACTCCTGGCCACCGGTAGGGGCACCGGCACCGGCACCGTAACCCTCGGCGGGGCTTGCCTGACATTCACGAGAGATGTGGCCGACACCACCACAGCGGTAGCAAGACTTCTCCTTAGGTGCTACAGTACATTCGCGGCCTTGATGATGAGTCTATTAGCATTTCTGACGCAGAAATAACGGGCGAGGTCGGTGGTGAACTTACTGACATGTCCCTGTCCTGCAATGTTTCATTGGTCCGGTTAGAACAGAGAAGCTTGAAATCAAGGGAACATGTGCAATTGAGACAAGCTAGTCAAAAGGAAGACAGTAATGGAAAGAGATAAGGAACTTCAATGGGAAGTGGGCATGTGTGACTAGACAAGGTCAAGAGACAGGACATACCACCGCAGTTGTAACTACCAAGTTTAGTCAATAACGTTCACGTCAAAGGAAAGCAGGCAGTGTAGATTAAGCATACCAGGTAGGAGTGCCCTTCTTGGGACAGTCACGGGCCTGTTGAAATTAGAACGTTGCCAAACCATGATTTGAGGTATACATCAGAAAGCAGATTTGGATCCCACGAGGGAGAAAATGATGACAGGGAAAAGTTTACCTGGTGTGAAGCATCACCGCCTAGAATCAACCAAGATGGGTTAGCCTTCTTCTTTCAGGTTTTTTTTTTCTGTCTGATACCGACAAAAGAGTCTGCACTCGATTCGGCACAAACGAAAGTGCCAGGTAATGGAGGGTTGAGGGATCCAATCTGTTTGACTGAAGACAGGGCAAAGCTTGATATGGTAATCATGAAGGAAACCTCTGTTTTGTATTTTTGGTATGTCGTAAATTTTTTTTTTTTTTTTTTTTTTGGTTTAATATTTGGGGGAAGTGCTTGAAGTGCAGGAAGAAAGCACACGTGTATGCTAACATCGAAGGCCCGGGTTGAACATCAGAGGAATAGAGAGTGAGACTCACAGTTGAAGCAGCCACGACCTCCAGCTTGGAAACTCATTGTGAACAGGGATCAGGCGAAACTGGTGGGAGAAAGTTGGTGATGCCGGGTGAGGTTGAGAGGGGGTGGAAACTGGGCGATCAGAAATTTAGGTAGGGATTTCTGCTTAGTGCCGATAATAATAAGAAAATAATCAGATATGCGGATACTCGGTGCGGGGGAGCGCTTCCCGTGGTTCCTGCAGGGCTTTAACGCCGGGAAACCGCAACACACAACAACAGCTGCCCGCTTCCAGTGCCCCTCCCCCCATGTCATCACATCTTGGACTTGATCCTTGATTTTTGCACCCTCCCCACTGCAGCTGCCCTTATACAGCTTTTTCGGCCAGCACTTTGCGATCTGCCTAGATAAGTGCCATATGTGGCGACAGCAGCAACAGCTATGACAGAAGGTTTTCGCGAGCCCCGAACACCTGAGACTATCATACAGCCCTTCTGCTAGCCGGGACGCAGGGAGATCGGTCACAGACTGCAGCCCTGCCAGGAAGCAGAGCGGGCTAGCAGGATGGATAGGGTCTCTAAAAGAGGGAGGTATATCTGGAACCCTCTTCCATGGATCTAAGGGTCGACAACGTGGCCATCGATTAGCAGATTGATTGTGTCGAATAGGGACAATCACCGAACATGACCGTGTGAAAGAAAAATTGGGCGACAAGTGACAAGCGACAAGCGACCTGGAATTTGGGCTGGGAGGGCTTTAACTACGCCGGGACATCTCTTGCAACTCCCCCCCCCCAAGGTCCCCCGGGCCTGACACCTTGGTTGCACCTGAAATTCTCCATAATGACCCAGGATGTTTTACGGTCAACTTCCTCTGATTTTTGCTTTACTGCTTGCTCCTTGTCACATCGTAAATGTGATGAGAGCAGAAACTTACGGCAATATGACCAGACTCCAGTACAGCAAGTGGCAGTGAATGTCCCTCTCCCCGAGTTAGGCTTTATCTGTGATTACTATTGATTGTCCTCAATAGCGAATATTTTTCTTCCTCACGTGAAGTCGTAAAATTCGAGCATCTGCGTCCCAACCTCCTTCTCTCGAAGCAGAAGGACTCGCTCATCATCGAAGCCAATACAACCACGCATCCTAGCTAATCCGTGAGGAATATCGACCGAACTTGACCGGGCTGCATGGTATTCACCATGGTATGATTCTGGCACCAAGCCAAGGCTATCATGTCGTCGACCAATTCTGTTCTCGGGGCTGATTCGGATGCTATTCCCATTTCTCAACGCTTTTTGCCCTCCTAGCGAAGAGATCAAAGATTCAAGTTCCCATATCCTGATATCGTCTCCTCTCGAGCTAACAGAAACCGCCTTGCCTCGATCGCTAATCTGCACCGCCGAAATCGAGGATGTATGCCCCCAGAGACGCTGGCAGCCTTTCACGGAGAGGCTTGTTGAAGTAGAAACCACGAGATATACGGTTAATGTATTGTCCGCGTGGGAAGTCAAGAGATAAGGGTGAGAATAGGACACTGAGGTCGGAGGCTCGTGGTGTGATGTTGAAGGTCCGAGTGGCGTGGTGTTCTGCCTGCCCCGGAGACCTGTCGCATACGAGGCGGTGCGATACTCCCTATTTGACTGGTTGCGAGAATCTGGGGATATCGTGCCATAGTGACAATCCACTGTGGTAGCGAGCCGCGAACTTATTTGTTGACCATCCAAACCAAATTGCAATTCTTGAATTCCCAGTGACCAGCCACAGCCAATATGGTAAAAACTGTATACTATAGATGCTATTATTTTGGGGCCTGTAGCACGAACCGACAGCGAGATTGGTTCCAAAATACTGTCTGCCTTGAGGGATGTTAGTAGGCGTGGGGCTAGTGATCCACCAACGCCACCCTTGTCCGGGATTGTTTCATACAAAGATAAAACCTTATGTTCGGAGACTAAGAGAAGGAAAGGAGAGCACGAGGCCATAGTAGTGATGGCTCCACTGACACATTCAACGCAGGAAAAGCGCATTCCCAGCCGCAACGTAGTCGTGTCCAGAGTATAGACGCTCAAACGGCCATCCTCAAAACCAACTGTAACATCGACGAGGCTCTGCTGTGGACCGCTCGCTGCCGCCGCTATTGCTGTAGGAGCAGGAAATGATGGCAACGGTGGGTTTGTCAAAAGGATCCTTGCTAGACAATGTTCGGGCTCCTTAGCGGGCCAAACTCTTAACCCATGACCTAAATCCGCTGTGAATACTATGCCAGCACAGAAGGTTACTAACATTTGTCGACGCGGCGGTTGGGGAAACTCGACTTCCGTGACCCGACAGACCCCCCTTGACCAGTTGTGTCTCAGCCGATACTGTCGTTTCCAGTTTGTGGCCACTCCCTCCTTTGCCAAGTGACCATGGTCAAGCCAGGTTGACACCCTAGGCGAGTACTCGATTTCAGGTCGGGAGAAAAGGGTACGCCTAGCGTTTGCCAGCCGACGTGCTCGAGGTCGTACCCATCGAGAGTAGTATTGCCTTTTCCAGAGTTCCGAGTCTCCAGCTAAAGCATGGAATCGGCGTGATAGTCTATGCGTGGAGAAGTAATGAGCTGTGAAGTCGGTAGTCCAAGTGAGGAGAACATACTGTTGACAGACAAGCAAAGAGGGGATGGGAAGAAAAGACAGTATATGGATTAGGAGCTCGTCACTTAGGGCAGTTATTTGGTCGATATGAATGCTGGGAATTGTGTGGGGGCGCTTTGGCGGAGGGAGGACAGATGGATCATCAACATGGTTTCTCTTCGACATTCTGTGACTGAAAGAGCGATGCGTGGGCAGAAAGGCAGTCACAAAACTCAACATGACCGACTCCACAAGCCAATGTTGGAGCAATGTGCACAATCTTGAAAAGGACTAAGTACCAGTAGTGAGAACTCTGGCCGCATGTCAGGGCGGAGGCTTATCTGAGGGCGGTGGTTGATACGGTATGTATGGGGGGATTAATCGTTCCAGACGATACAGTACATGCCGAGGTAATAATGAGTGTGCTAATCAATTTATGCCTCCAGCCGCGTCTCTAGCCGCCTACGCCACACCGGGAAGACCACTTCCATGTGTAGCTTAAGCCTCATCAATGGAGGTGCTCAAGCAGCTTCATGCCTCGGTTGCCCAGGCCTTTGCGGATCACTTCGAGAATGCCTACAGAGATCTTCACCAAGAGCTTGCTCTTCGGGATGCGAAGGTGCAAGCTGCTGAGGAGACGACTAGGATTGCAGAAGAAGCGCGAAAGAGGACAACCGTTGAAATAGTGACTTTGAAGGACGAGATTGCTCTTTTACAGGATGAGCTATGTCTCAGCGATGTTGGGCCAAAAGAAGATCGTTTTACTGCTGAGAAGTCCCTTGAATTGGAGGCAACGTACGCGCCGCATCATGTTCTGGAACCCATCCATGCCAACCGCATGGGTCTTGTGGATCTCAGCTCTGCTGATATGAAGGCCATTAATAACAAGTATACTTCACTCTACAGGGAAGCAATGACACTCATGAAAGCTTCTGGTGATCTTCGGAAACAAGTCAAGCGGCACAAGAGAAAGTTGGCCCACTTGCGAAAGAGCCTTGACCGCGATAGATTTACGTTGGTGCTTGACGGGGTAGCAGTTGATTTCAAGCGCGTCGTTAGGAAGAGAACAAATGATGATCGATCACTATCACCCACCACCACGTCATCATATTCTTTGGCGGAATCCTCGAGATCGGTCACTCATACGGTTATGCGAGATTCAACTTCTGTCATGGACACTTCTCAACCAGATATTCATGACCTTGTATCAGAAGAGGACGTCAAAAATAAGCTAGAAGGTAGCAGCAAGAATCCATGTCGGATTCCACTACCAGAGACTACATCGACGCAGTCAGGTAGATCGAATCCAGACGAAGTTATAGCTCCAGCCCAGCATGCATCAACTGCCTCCGTTGGGTCATTAAAACGAAAGCGTTTATCATTTCCGATTCCTCATCGAGAAGCCCTAGTTGGCCATGGCGATGTTGATGCCGATAAAAACCGTGGCTCGGCGCAACCCACTACGATCAAGAATGAGAGCTTGCTCTCCAGTCCTTTGCAGACGTCATTGTTGAACTGTGGGGTTATTGGAATGCAGGACCTAGATGAAATTGGAGCCACAGTTGAAACGCCAACGAAAGAAAAGAAATACAAGGATGGCCAGTTCCGTCAAGCGGCTTCCCCTACCCTTGATTTGCAACGCATATGTGCCCCCCACATACCACGGCGCCCGACATCGAATCATTTGCCCTTGGGACGACCAACTGTACTCCAATCAGTTGATGGCAACATAACAACTCATATGTCTGCTCAACTGATAGGCAAATCGGTTGCGAGGGGTACGAGAAGGACGTCCAAGTGCCCCATATCTTCAATAACGGAGGATGGCGAGGAAGATGAGTCAAACCCCGCTATAGGAAATAAATTCGGTACATCAACATTCGAAGCTGAATTTTTACGCCCGAATCCGGATAACGACGATCAAATGGCAGCCCAACGATTGGAAGGTCTCCTTGAAGGACCTTTACCTGCTAAACAACATCTATGGCCCAAGGAAGCGATCGAAGAAATAACAGGAACGATCACAAGGCATACATCTCCCCCTTCTACAAGGCAAGACTTGCTACGGACATACAAGAATAATGCGGGGGCACAATTGAATATGGTCCCGGAAAAGTTGGAGGAGAGTCCTGAATCCAATCTTCGACATGGGTCTAATCAAGTTACACCGTCTTCGAGGAGCGAAGCAGAAAGAATGGAGATGGATCCCGTGTATAAAACTTATAGGACTCGGCCGCTACATCGTCTTGAACTTAGCCATTTCAAGATTAACCCAGATTATAACCAAGGGGTTGATTTTGCATTCAGCAGTGTTATTCGCAGAATGGACGAGCGCAAGTGTGCAAATGGTTGTACACGTCCTAGCTGCTGCGGCAGCAAGTTCCACGCTATGGCGCGCCTTGGTGGCCTTCCATCCAATGTAACATCCCTCAAGGAGAGAGAGCAAGAAAATAGAAAGATTCTGGAAGACTACTTGGGAAATGAAAATCACCTACTTGACGGGTTAAGTGTTGAAAACCAGGCAGAGCTTCTACAAGCGGCAAAAGCAAGGCTAATCGCTAACCGGTATGGGAAGCACAGACATCACCATCAGCGGCTGGGATCGCCGCCCGGGTACTGGCGCACAGATATGCCCGATACACAGGAACTGCAACGTGATCATGAAGAGGCAAGGGAGATTGAACGAGAGAGAGTGGAAGACCGGTATCGAGAGGCAATGCGCCCTGGAGGCCTCTGGAAGTTCGCAGATGAGTGAGCATGCTGTACTGTTTCCGAGACAGAGAGGCCCACTCATGTTGTATGGATAGATAGACACTCGAAGAGTATCCGGGAGTTGATTGAATGCTAAACACTTTGGCCGTCTACCTTTGCATCCAGTGGCCTTCTTCGATTACTCTGTAGCTATCTTGGTGGTTGAGGCGTACAATACTGCAATGGAGGCTGTCGGCATCCCAGGAAATCACCGGCAGCAGTTTACAAATCGGGGCACCCCAGTTGTGGAAGCACTTACTGCGTCCGAACCACAGAGGATCCGCCGTATCATGTATGTAGTAACCCCGTCCGTTAAATTTCCTTGGCAGACCCCGGACACGTGCCTTATCCATGTCTGCCTACCTCGGTCTACTAACTAGTACCTCTTGACCTCTCGGCCCAGCCGACACCGTCTTCTGTGAATGTCCCATGAGCCTTAGAGCTGATTTCTTGAATTAACTTCTTTGATATCTACACTTCTTTCGTTTGGAAATGGAGTCCGCATGGAGCGCCAAAAACCCAATATCTACCGCACTGATGCAACCGTCCAAATGGCTCCCGTTGTACGAGGAGTTCGTCACCAAGAACGCCAGCTCCGTGGGCCAAGTAGAGTCAGCACTGAGGTCTCTAACATATATCATTCCTGGTTAGAGCATGAAATCGAGCTTCATATCCGTCTTTGAAGATATGGCAGGCTGACGGCTATGTGCAGGGCGATACCGAGATTCGGAGATCAGTTCAGAGTGCGGTACGTTGCATGGGAGTTTATACAGTGACCTTTCCCTGGAGGATGGAGCCGCTCGCCTAATACCAATTCCTACATATAGTGCACTCAGGGGTACAGCTTCTGTCACTTTATCATGACTCGCTTGTTTCTCGAGTCATTTCCAGGTTGCCGTCGACCCGCCGCCGGCCTACTCCATCGCCTCATGCGCGGTATACCAAATATTGGACCTCTCACTCGTCGTTGTATCAGAAAGTCGCCCTCACTCTGCAGATGGTTCAATACACAGAACTGCTGTGGGAAATGACTGCCCGGCGTCGTGGGGAAAAGGTCCGCTGGCGTATCATCATCTTAATTGAAGCCGCCAAAGCAATCTGCCGCTTGTTGCTGCTTCGCCTCACAAACTCTAGGCCACTGGTCAGCCCCCCACTTCCTGAACGGGAGGTAGATCCCAGATCGTTTGAAGAAGAAGACAGCGACTGGAATGGGATGCAGACACCCTCTAGCGACCGGTCGTCAGACCTGTGCTGGACCATGCCTCGCACAGGGCTGTCGCTTCCTTCTCTACCTGATGTCAATGATCTTTCGAACTATCTAATATCCAAAGTTCTTACGGCCGACGATATCAAACCACCGAAGGCGCTGTTGCACCGAGTCACTGGCCAAGGTCAGTTCGCAGAGATCCTTTACATACTTCGGCCAGTAGTCTATGCACTCGCGATGCAGAGATATGGCAGGAACAAACGGAGCTGGAGACCCTGGCTGATCGGTTTCGGCATGGAGTATGGCTGTCGACAATTAGCCAAGTCTGATCTTCGCGAGAGAGTCGTGGGCGGCCTTCGGGGACTGACTGGGCTGGAACGAGAGGAACTGAGAAAGAGAGGCTGGGCAATGGGCTGGTGGTTTATGCGAGGGGCTTTCTATGAGAACTTAACCAAGTATGGCTTTATTACCCCCCCGACAGAAAAAAAGGGCAGAAAACCATACTAACTTTCAGTAGATCCTGGCTAAATAACTTGACTGGCAGGATGAAGGGCAAACCCTTGCTTGACTTGGTAAGCAGCGTCATCGAGGATTATGAGTATCTCTGGGATAGTTACTATTTCTCGACCGCAACCCTATAACCACGGCTTCTCTGCCAGTGTATCACTCTTTTTAGCCTTCCCATTCTGCAGGGCTTCTTATGCCTCTTTCTGTGGTTGTATTTAATCTAGATACCCGATGAACTATCATTTTCGTTTTATCCTTCTAATCTTACCAGCAGTGTCAATTTACTTCTGTTATGAATAGGCTTTTTAATCAGGTACTGGCTTCTCTTCGTCGGGCTGGAGGCATTCACAAAGCGAATGAAAACTGGGTATCACATTTGATCATAATTTTCGTCACCTGACTAACCTTAGACCTGATACGGGATATCTCACTATAGGAGAATCTCGGCGCATTTTGACCCGTACCATTCCTGCAGCTCGTGCTCAGCTTTCGTGGCAGCTCCGGTGGAGGTCAATAGGAAGTCCATGAGCTGCGAATTTTCTTCATCTCCTGGCCAATCAACCTTTGAGTCTCCCTTTAACTCAAGCATTTCTTTCGCAGTGCCCCAACTGAACCGGCATTCGTTGCCCCATCCGAAGATAGGATCCATATTTTTCCGTAGCCAATTGATACATTTCGAATCGGAGGGATAGCCGCTTCCCCAACTTTGCGGCGCAGGCACCTGCGATGAATCCTCCGCACGGGGGTTCTCGTATACTGCTTGATGACAAAGTTCCAATGCAACATCCCTAGTCACTTTGGCTGCAACGCTTGCAGCGCTCACGCACGGATACAACGAGTCGGCCTTTTTCGCCACTGTGATCCTCAGGGAAGGGAATATCTTCTCGAGTTTTTGTTGATAGGTTGCTGGGTTTCCGATCGTGTCGATATAGACCTCTCGAACGTCCATGTTTCGATTCTCGACGACCCCACGGATGAGTTCAATCGTAGCGTCCATGGCCTGTGCATTTAGGTTATAAGCGCCTGTCCCCGGCCGCATCATACCGGAGGAAATATCACGGGCCGATAGCAGCTTCACCGCCCACCCACAGGATTCATAGAGTGGGTTTCCGGGGGAGCACAGCAGCTTCATTAGATTGGAGCGCAGACCGGGTGTAAGAACCTTGCTGTCATTGAAACCATAGTCTCGAGACAGAAGGGTATGGTGTAAATCAAGTGGCAAGTAGAATGCGCTGTAGACCATGGGGCCCAAAACCGGGCCGCGACCGGCCTCATCCACCCCTAAGACAAGGTGATTCTGTGGAGAACTTGTAGTTGGATCATCGACTCGAGAGGTTGCGATGGCGGGGGGACACGGGGAGTAGTGAGCATAGGACTCCCCGGAGAGTAGTCGGTAGCGATCTATGCTGGGAGGGATGAAGAGGCCTGGTGCAGTGGCAGGGGTGTCCTGTGTCAATCCCGGGGGACTCTGGGCTGTGTCGGCCATGGTTTCCGTTGATTGCAGCGCGATTGCGAGTACGACGGCCGAGGGAGAGAAAGTTGTGGCCCGGAGGATTGCGATGGATGGACGCGTCCCAAACGGTTCCGGACTAGCGGCGGTTCCGCGCGTGTTTGTTCGCCGCCCTCACGGATTCCTACTCCCCTCCGCAGCAGCATTCATTCCCCATCCCCAACCCGGGTTTTTCCTCCCCTCTCTTCCAAGTTGCATCTGCTGCAATTTCTTGCAGTCGCATACTATCGTTTTCCCGGCAGGTTTCTTGCGCAGCCTGCCCAATCCATCCGCGTCCCAACACCCTCTCCGTTTGACCCCTCGTGATTCCCTCCCGTTGAAGCTATCCTACCGCATACAGCTCCCGAAGCTCCGCAACGATGGCTCCCCGAGGGCCTGCAAAGGCTCGCGAATACGATTATGCCAATGTTGGCAAAGCCGGAAGGTTGGTATAATCGGAGCCGTTTTGCATTCACACTGTCTGATACCTGTTTTATCCCCTGCGCCCCTTCAACCCTCATCTACCCATTACACTGAAGGCTGATGCAGGTGACTGATACAGGCGCACGGGGTTAATGTTAAAGGAAGGCAAGCGCGATGAACATGGGATGGAAGAAGTCGAAGGGATATTTTCTTCCCCCGAAACCTCTCCCGTCAAAGAGAACAGCTTCGGTAACCGAAACGAGACCTCCATCGGCTCGGACGGCATGTCCATGGATGAGGGTGGGTTCACATATAATCCTCTTTACTAACTGGTCGCTTACTATGATATTTTAATGGACAGGGAATGGACCGGGTCCGGCCGATTTCCTGAAGGGAAGACGTAGCTCTTATTTCCCACCTCCTGTTGCGCGCTCGCCAATGAAGACCGGCCTGACTGGCTCCCCGCGGAGGACTCCTGGCCTGCGATCTTCTCAGAGTCCGCAACGCGACTACCCGTATTCAAGTCCTTCAGATGGAAAGGGCCTGGGAAGTACGAGAGGCGAATCACGACGAGATGTATCTCCACTTACTAGCCGTTCCATAAATGCGGCACCGTCGTTCAATCATATAAATGGCTCACGAAACAACAAATTGAATGAGGACATTTCTGAGGAGGCTATGGATTCTGGCTTTTCTGACAGTGATGCCAACAGCCAGCTGAACACAGATGAGAACGGGCATTCATACGGACAGATCCATGATAACTTCGTCGACAGCTTCAACGCCGGGGATGACACATTAATGGCCGACCACACGGATGAGCCAGATGAGAATGGCGCCGACCTGGACTCGCCAGTAACCGTGGCTTCCGAATCGCGCAACAAGAGGGGGCAGGTCAAACCTACTCCAAAAAATACTAGAGATGCCAAAGGTGCAAGATCCGGGGGGTCCACCACAGTGCAGGATAATGAGCCTGGGGAAGAGCCTACACAAAAGCGGAAACGTCCTGGGAGGCCTCCCAGGACCCAACGCAAGCCTAACGATGAAACGGAGGAACAACGGCCGACGAAAAAGCCTCGGGCGTCTGATGAGAACAATAGAGACCCAAGCTCTTCGGGCAATGCAGACCTGGACAAGGTTGTGGAGAGTTATGTCAATCGCACGGGGCCATTGAAGGGCCGGGGCCTCTATATTTTGAAGCGCGAAGTACCTTCGGATGGCGCTGCCACTCATACACGATCAGGACGTGTTTCGGTCAGACCCCTCGCTTACTGGCGGAATGAACGGTGCGTTTATGGCGATGGTGAGGTGGCAGAGGGCCAACGGTATCCGCTTTCAACCATCAAGGAGATTATCCGCACAGAAGAACTGGAGCCAGAGAAAACAAGATCGAATAAGCGCCGCCCTGCCAAAAACTCCAAGTCAAGGAAGAACAAGGATGACGATTCGGATGACGAAGGGGAATACGTTGATCCTTGGGAGAAAAAAACCGGGATCTTGCATGGTTATATCAGGAAGTGGGACGAGGAGGCTCAGGCAGTTGGCGAGGATGAGGATATCGTTGGTATGTTTTGGCATGCGTGATAAATGCCGTCCCTGCAAAATGACTGTCATGCGCTAACTTATCCTCCGCAGACCTTGCTTATGCACCGGCTGGGATGGAAACAAGGAGTGTAAAGGATTCCTCATGGCGATTCGCGAAGCTTCTCAGCTCCCCCTTTTTGGGCTCTGGGATCGTTGAATTGCCGCCTGGCGGAGTAAAAAAGCCCAAGAATTCTAAGAAGATGCACATGGTCTTCTACATCTGCCAGGGCCGGGTGCAAGTAGATATCTCTGGTGTCCGATTCAGTGCCGGCAAGGGCTGTGTATTCCAGGTTCCGAGAGGTGAGTTAGTTCCGTCCGCAGCTCATTGCTGAAAAGAGGCTACCTTCGTCTCGTCTCGATGGAGATTCTGATTGAGATCCCAGGAAACTATTACAGCTTTGCCAATACGCAGAATAAAGATGCCCGATTGTTCTTCACACAAGGCTGTGTTCCGACGAACGACGATGACTCTCTCCCCGGATCGGCGACTAAACCCGGTGCCATGGATGGTGATTCTAGCACACCAACAGGACGTCCGACCAGCGTGAAGGGCAGGCCCAGGGGCAAACAGAAAGCTGGCGGGCGTAAAGCAACGTGATTGCCACTTCAACGTCGGTCCGACCGTGTTCTCCTATCTTTTCGAAACATTCATCACCTATATCCTGCCCGCTGTAGGGCTTTGACCTCTGGATTAGCGAACTAGTTACGTGAAATTGTTGGGATGAAAGTGTGCTTACGTCCTCATAGCTCCGTCCCTATTCTATTCATCTCTTTTCCCCCCTCTCTCTTTCTGACAACGGGTTATCAATAAGCAAGTAGGCTTGGGTTGTAGAATTATCGGAGTACCTTTTGAGGGAGATAGGAGTACATTCTAGCAAATTGTCTCGCTGTCCTGTGTTTATACTTGACGCCCTGGAAGAACATGTCAAATCTCCTCCATCAACTCATCATCCAAGTCATCCAAATCGAGGGGCGGGAAATCTCCCACTTCGACTTTCTCGGGCTTCACGAAGACCCCCGTCTTATTCGGACAGGTGAAAAATCTCTGGCCGCCTACACTGCCATCGTTCTTTCCCAGCGGCTCATCAAGCTCAATTCCCACCCATAGAGGAAGAGCCACAGCTTCTAGTTGCGCCGTTTTAGGGTCCACACCAGGGTAGGGTATTGTAGGCACAGGTCCAATAAAGCGAACAGTCCCTCGGCGGATATGTGGCGGAGACGACGGCAAGACAATGGCACGTTGGGTAACGGCAATACCTACACATGTCAGTAGGTTTTTAGCACAGTGCTACCTACAAGTAACCGGAGCTTTTTAGCCAAGCAAGTCCATGGATTTAACTCACCTCTTTCTTGAATCTCGGCGGCATCTTTCTCTGATTGTTGACGCAGTGACTCTTCCGGGGTTAGGGCATTTGGATCAAACCGGCCAAGCTTCTGATTCTTCTTCCAGGCCAAAACCGAATTCGAGAGCGATTCGTAAGTGGACGTGGGAAGAACATATTTCTCAACGGATGATAGATCGGTGAAATTGGGTCGGACCGATTGAGGACGGGAGTCGTGGACCTAATGAAAGGGTATAATCTCGCATCAATAATCGTCTCTAATCATAGAGTATACCCCGAAGACAAAACGCGAAAAAGGATATGAGCTCCCCCTAGTGCAAATTCTTAAGGATCTTCACGGCCCCGATTGGGAACATGGTGTACTACCTGGGATTGTAAGGGGTACCCAACAAGACTAAGCTAAAGCAGGGACTCCAATGAAGTATTCTGCATGTTGCGGGCCGTTGAGGAAACCAATGATTGGCCAGAAATCATACTACCCGGCGCTGCGGGCCCCAGAAATCGGAAAGCAGAGGCATATAAGAAGTAGGACGTACCTCGATCTCGCAGCCTTTCATCAAACCCCAGTCGCCGATGATGGTGTCATCGCCATCTACCCATTGATCGGGGCGGCCCGGCGACCTGAGTAACAGTCGCTGGCTGCTGGGGGGTACGCCGGTCATGGTTTCCAGTTTACCTTTGAGCTGCATGACTGTCCATGTTGGAGTGACGCGACGCTCTGTTAACAAGCGCGGCTCAGCACTGTGGTTTGCCATGGGGGTGGTAATGGCGACAGAGACGTCCGCCGGGGTGGTTTGGAAATCCATGGCTTAGAGCACGGCCCGTTCAGGCTTGAGATAGAAGAGATAATGGGTTGATTAATCTTGATGGTCAATCGTTTGTCTTTATCCCTCTTGCAGTCTGGGGGGGCTCAGTTTGGCCTATGTTCACAAATTAGATGAGGGAATGTCACGAGTAAAAGCAAGCAGGTACCCCATGATGAAAGAAGACGACACGAATGGTCTTCACATCGGGTGTGAACGCAGTGGATAATGAGCTTACAAAGAATGATATATCTGGCCTAGCCAGTAGCCACGAGATTTCCACTGAAGAATATACAGAGGGGATATCCAAGATAAACCTCGGTTATTGATAATATTTGGAAGGGGGAGGTGGGAAGGGGTGAATCGATGGCCCAATTGGACGACCTCTCGAGTTGAGGGAGATAGATAAAACCAACTTACTCCGTAGACGCTGTGGCTATTCAAACGGAAGGCCAGTGACCACTTCAACAATATGCATACTGTTTGCCAATGGCACGTGGTGTATGCTGAGTCAGTTATATTACGTGGGGCCGAAGATAGTTACGGTCATACTGGTACCGTACGGTGGGAGAATGACGTCTGGAGGGGAAATTCCGCTCTCCCATCTTGTTATTATTATTGCTTCTCCCTCGACTCCATTTTCCAGACCTTTCGACAATTTGATCTGTTTTTACCCTTACCTTGCTTCCACCGGACAACTCATTTTCCCGCTTTAGAAAAGCGGCCTAGACTCTTGTAGAACAGTTAGATTTCTATCGTGGGATAGATCCCAGGGTCTGCAGGATTCGTGTGGGATAGGGGAAAAAATGGCATCTACCAATATCCCAGCTCTGGAAAACCCACCCCAAAGTGACGAGGAAGGCTATGAAGAGAGGAATGTCCATGAAGTGTACCAGCAAATTGCCAGTCATTTCTCCTCCACGCGTTACAAGGTACACAACCTCTCTCAGGACAACCGTGAAAATCCCCCTCTAACCCCTCAAGAACAGCCTTGGCCCATTGTGGAACGCTTCCTCAAGGACTTGAAGCCCGGGGCCATCGGATTAGATGTGGGTTGTGGCAATGGCAAATATCTGGCTGTAAACCGCGATGTTTTCATTGTTGCTTCAGACAGGTATGGTCTCCCCCGCACTTGGTTCAATGCCAATGTCATTCTTTATATTTACAGCGTCTCGTATATAAATATCCTCATGTCATTTCTTTCCGGAATCCCATGTACCTCCAAGCTGATCAATCCATGCCAGATCCGCAAACCTGGCTCGCATTGCCCAAAAGCATCAGCCACACTCAACCATCATAGCCGATATCCTCCACCTCCCACACCCGGATTCCTTTTTTGACTTCGCCATCTCCATTGCCGTCATCCACCATCTATCCACGCCAGATCGAAGGGTACAAGCTATCCGCGAAATCCTGCGCACACTGAAGCCCGCCACTGAAGGTCTCCCGGGTGGTAAGACTCTCATCTATGCTTGGGCCTTGGAACAGAAAAACAGCCGTCGAGGCTGGGACAAAGGTGACCCGCAAGATATAATGGTTCCCTGGGTCATGAAGGGAACCCCTTCTGCGGACGCTCCACCTGACCAGCCAAAGGTGTTCCATCGGTATTACCATCTTTACGAGGCCTCTGAGCTGGAACAGGACATCAACAAGGCAGGAGGTCGCGTCCTGGAATCGGGATATGAGAAAGACAACTGGTGGGCCATCGCGACGCGAACAGACCCAGAATCACCATGAGATGCATTGATGCAGTGACATCCTCGAGATCCAGCCTCGAAGCCCGTCTTCCACATCTGCATAGCACTCATGACAGGAATGATGACATGAGCATTGGACTCGTCAAGTCAAGGACTCCTTTCCCAGGCAACCTTCATGTGTAGGAAAATCAAAGCCAGATGAGGATAATGAAAAACGCGCGCACAAGCACTCGGAGGAGCCATCTATGACAAGCCCTCCCATGAGTGAAGATATACCTCCAACCAGCGCTATGCAATTCATAATAACGCAAAAAAAAAAAAAAAAAAAAAAAAAAAAAAAAAAAAAAAAAAAAAAACACAGGCATAAGACATCGTTTCTTTCATACCCCCTACGGGAGGGTTCGAGGGGGGAGACCGAGGTTGGGTCCTATATGGCCACCGTGACCGCCACTAAGATCCAAGGGTCGCCCCAACCTATAAGCTTCGCGAGGGCCCGGAAAGGGCGGGGGCGGTGCAAAAGCAGGAACTCCGGCAGTAAGTTCTTCAACAGAAGGAAGTTGCGGCGGCGGAGGAATTGGACGTGAGGCCGATCCCTTCCTTGGTCGAGACAGAGACGTGCTGGCTCGGCGTGTCCTGGGCGCTGGCGGATCTATGGCTGCGCTCGACAATGAAAACGGGACTACACCCGCTCGGCGTGCCATTTCTTGTTCTCCTAGTTGCCAATGCATGGCTTCTGCAGCTCTCCAGGGAATGGCCATCTCCTCGGCTACCTTTGACCACATTTCTGCCTTGAATCTGCACTGAAATCAACGACCATCTTCAATTGATTCGAGGCTTGGCATAGCTGCTGAATCAAACGTACCTTTCGTATAATCTCGCAAGCTTGTTCTTCTTGTCCTCATCCCACTCGCTTCTGCGTTCCAGATAATTCTGGTAGTGAAGACGGCAACTGATGGCACTTCGCCCAGGTAGCCGCTTGCTAATATCCTCCCATTTCATTCCACTCCCTCGTAACTCGATAATCAGGGCATCCTCCTCGGGGGACCATTTTGATTGCTTTTTCGCCGGCGATTCTGCTGTATGGGCTGGTTGAAGACGCTTGGCAGGGACGGTGGTTGGGATTTTGGAGGTAAGAGGGGGCACTGAAGGTACCGAAGACAACGATGCTGCAGTCGCCACTGGGATCGCTGGTGCCACCGAGATTTGTGGTATCGCGCTGGGCGCAAAGCTAGGCGCTGTGGTCACGGAGGCGGCCTCCTCTTCATCCTGGGACTTCAGTAGCAGTGAGATATCCACTTTGGCGGGAGGTAAGATGGCTTGATTTTGTAACGCAATCATATGCGCGGTTCGCAAGGGAAAATCTTTTCTCAAGTAGTGATACGCTGTGTGGCAGGAAGCACCATATGCCAAGATGTATAACAAATAGTCTGGCCTAGGGCTGAGTTGAAGCGAAACTTGACAGCTCAGAAGCCCAGTGTGACGAGATGCAGAGATGGAATGAACGAGGCGAAGATGTAGGAGACGAAACAGGAGGAAGGGTAGAAGGTAACTGGATGCCAACGACGTCCCAACCAGTGAGGCAAGTGCCCTTGTTAGAGCTTCTTTTGATTCGAAACCCACTAGAAGTGGCGAGTGTATCGGTGGCACTACGGGAGTGTCGATAAGCAGTAGTAGTGTATAGAAGAGAAACCCTCCAATCAAAATGCCCAAGGTCCTCGGGGTAAAAGAACCTATAGAAGAGACCGAGATTGCAGACGAAAGTATTCGTCTAGCGATGATCACGTATAACGACGGGTCTTTTGGGTCGGCAGGAAAACTTGATATGTCCGATAGAGAGGCTGGCCGACAAGGTTAAGCAGGAGACAGCGAATGGGGTAGGTAGAAAATGTAGTAGACAGTCTAAGTATACGTCTGGAACCCAAAATCTAGTAGTAGTTGCTGTAGTAGTTGTAGTAGTAGTCGTAACAAGAAATGGAAACAAAGACAATGCGCAGCAGTCAACGAGGGTGGTCGAGGAAGATGTGAAGACGGAAGGGAAAAGAGAGAGCTAGGGAAAGGGAGAAATGGCCAGACGAGACAGATGAAACGTCTGAAGATGCATGAGAAGAGAGATCATCGGGGCCTGTTGACAGCTGGTTGGCGCAGCAAATAAGAAGCTCAGCAGTAATAATGCTCCTATGGGGAGGGAAAAGAGGCTAACGAAGAGGCGAGGCCAGGGCCAGTGGGTTCGAGAAACCGTTTAATAAATAAACATTAATATAGGTGGTTACTATCCGTTGCCGTTATTTTATTTTAAATATTTTATTTTTCTGTCATTTTCCTTTGATTTGCCCCTCGAAGGAAAGCCGTTATTTTCCCCTCCGAGGGGCCACTCAGCCCAATAGTACGCCAGCCAGCAGTGTCCCGACGGGAGGGTAATCAGGTAGTACTAGTAAGTAGATAGGTCACTATCTTCAAGTACCTACCTATACCAGGAACTCAAGAGGGAAAAATAATCAAAAATCTTCTTCTTCCATCATTATCACCCTGTCCATATTTTGCTGTCCAACCCTCACCAGAACACGGATCAAACGATCCATTTACACTAGACATAGCCAAATAATAATGATTATTATTATCAAACCGGCGATGATTATCAAAACGGTTCCACTCCCGGGTACTATACTTGACGGGAAGGCCCTACTGGCGGTCAAACCTCTCCGGAAGAACGTTCGAGCCCAGCCTCCGTCATGTTAATGACTCGGTTGGTTGGCTGGTGAGTTGGCTGGCGAAACAGGATGGACGCAATCAGACCGTCCTAGCCTTACCTAAGGTACCTGCCCGCCTACTACTACACCAGGCCTGTACCAAGAGTTTGGCCTACCGACTCCGAACCATGTGAGCTCAATCTGGGACGCGAACCCTTTTTCAGGAGGCCATAATATTGATCATAATATTGATACCATTACTGTTGCTAACTTACAAACAACCGGGGGGGGGGGGGGGGGGGGGCACTGTATGCTTCATATCCCCAGGACATACAAAGGGCTTTTTTCTAGATAGAGTATGTGCATAGGTTTCATCCTTACTCCTGGAAAGTTCTTATTAGAAATACTCTGAGCATGCATGGAGCAAACTATCTTTACTGCATCCCAATCGAAACCGTATTATCTTTGGGGGTCACTTGAATTCTATTTCCGCCAAATCTTGGCTCGCTCCTTCAGTATCTCTGCTGTCAAGAGAGGAGAAAGGAAAAAGTCCAAGACATGTCCTCTGGAGTGTGTACTTTGTAGTCTATACATGCGTACTGTCTAGGAGGGGCAGCATTGTTGCTAGAGAAGCAAAGGAAGTGAACAGTCTAAGCCACAGGGAGGTATACATTACTTAGTAGCCTTGAACAGCCGGGAACCCCGGTATAGGACCCGAAGGTTGGTTAGGGTAATTGCTAGGGTAGAAATGCAAGGCTCATAGCAGAAATTAAGAAGGAAAAAAATCTCATTAGACAGCAGGGGCGCATGGTTCCTCCCTGTGGAGAATGCCACCGCCCTAAACCGGGATGTGGAATGGTCTTAGAAGCTCCAACCAGAGGGCAAAAACGGGCGATGATGGGGAGCATGCGTAACGACGACGGCGTCAAGTCCCTAGAAGAGGCTTTTAACCACCCGTCGTCGGCCGAAACGGCGACAGGAGAGGAGACTGCCCTTCCATCAGCTAAGAAGATAAGAACAAGAATGTTAAATTCTTTAAGTAGGTAGAATGATGAATTATCAACATCGGTAAATCAATTAAATCCAGATATTTTTATTTCTCTGCAGATAACGATTCCTCTTCTTTCTTTTATTTTTGCCTTTTTTTATTTTTATTTTTCATGTCCCTGATTTGGGGTTTTTTTCTTTCTTTTTTCTATTTTCCTTGCCTGAATTTTGGTTGGCTCCTGCTCAATCTAATTAAATTTCCGAGTCCCAACGGCCATGGAATTGCTCCAGCCAATTACATAGTCTCAGACCGTCCGGATGGATCTGTCAACGGCGAACGAACCCCAAGCCTCGAACGGCAAGTATCGCCCTAGGTAATATCGCTAGGCAGGCGCTAACTGGGATCCGGGGTCTTTTAGTAACCTGGAACCGTTCGCCTCGCCCATCTTTTTCTGCACTTGATGCCCCCATTATTTACCGGCCTTACCGGTCTAAATGACAGCGTAATCCCCGACATAAACAGTCTTCTTGTAAGGAATAATTCGTAGCAAGTATGGCCGTGCCCTGCTACTGACAGTCACCCATGCTCTTTCATTTTTATCGATACCATGTCAACTATGTTTGAACAATGAAGCGTGAAATGATGATGAATAAAGACTCTTGCGACCAAGTTGCCGCTATGGCTGTGCCTTGACCGTGACAGCTCCAGTGAAGTAATACATCCACCCGTGGTGCTGTCAATCAGGTGACAAGGCGGCAAATCGTTCTCTGCCGAGCCTGCGGTAGTGGATCAATTCAGGTTCCCTATCTCCTCAGAGTCAGTGGACTGACTTCCTGTTCCCTTATCATTGTGTCCTATGTATATAGTAGTAGGTCGTACTTACTACGAAGTGATGAAGCCTCATCCTCCATTTCTTTGCCCATTTACTGGAGCGAATGAAGTTCTCTCTTGGTTCTCATCCAACCTTTCCCCTCGATCCATATGTACGAAGTAGATGTTCTTCCCTCATCCCTGTCCATTTTGACGATTTTATTCTCCGAACTCATTCATTCGACACGTTACTTAGTCTGTCCTAGCAAGAAACCCCACATCCAATCAACTCGTAGGGTCATGCCGATGCTTCAGGTTGCAGCATCTGTTTTCGGGTCCTGGACGCATGGAATTCAAGAACCCTAATGTAAGCCACTTTCTTTCAGTCGTACCTTTTACTCTGCCATGGATATAGCTGTGATTATTACTGGTAGCTAGCTCCCTGGCCTATAAGAGGGGCGCCATGGTGTCATATAAGGTGGTACCAGTACCTACAGTCGTCTATCGAAGACTCATCTCCGAAATTCACTATATGTGTCACCGAGACCTTTTCAACTTTTCTTGCATGGTTTCAGTATCAGCTGCGGCTCCTCAATTCCTAATCCTGTCCAATGCTATGGGGTTTGATTATCGACCGGTTACACCCTCACGGGTGACGGATCGCGGAGGAGATTTCGCGATTTCCGGGTCTGGACAACTCCCTGTAAATTAGAATCTGTTGATCGTTTGGGCTGGAACCGCAGAGTCTCGGTACATCCTGGCTCCAGACTCGCTATGCCGAGCTGATTGCCGCCAAAGACGCGTCGTTTGCTTTCTCTGCGCTTGCGTCTAGCACTATTCCGTACGTGTATGGCGAGTTCCATCCTCTCGATTACTACTATCCTCACGAACCGCAACTATCTATCTTGCGTAGTTGCATTTGGGGGCTCTAAATACTCCTCGCTTGGCTCCTTTGCCTTTTGTAAAAAGACGTCTACCATCATAATACTACTACTATGACTACGTGCAGATAACAAGAGTTAATAGTATTTACTCACTGGGAAAAGTGGTGAGTGGTGAGTGGTGAGTGGTGACAATGGGTATGTTGTGTGCGGAGAAGAACTTGGATAACGGCTTGTCTTCGAACGACGGGGCCGGCGGGAACAAGGGGTTTCCCGCCAACTGCAAGCCTGCAAGATTACCTAGGGACCAGTGGGGACGGGTCAAACGGTGGCTTGCCTTGAAGCATTCTTCCGACAAGAGTGGCGGAGGCACCAGAGCCCACCCATGCCCAATCATCGCCGGCTCGGGCCCCGTGTTGACAGGCTAAGTGGGACCGACAACGCCAGCTTAGTCCATTCCATTACTCAGTGACATGGCAAACGCACTGGCGGTCGCAGGGCGCGAGGCTTGATTCTGAAGGCTAGAGCCCTCCTCGGCGCCTCGCACTGGTGGGCATCGGGACTCGCTATGAGGCTATGCTATGAATCTTCACGCAGGAAGGAGGTACTATGTGTTATGTACGGAGTACCGAGTAGTCTGTATCTAATGAATCAATCCCTTCCCTCCATCTTGGCTTTGCCCCTCCTCTACTCCGTCCCCCCAACCCACCCACTCTAAGCTGTCTCTGGCTCTCCGCTAACCTTTGAGTGTCAAAAGTAGTATCTAGGTAGGTACTGGTGCACTCACCGGAAAACAACCATTGTTCTCTGGTATCTCTGTTTTATCTAGTCGCAATTCCGTATTCCGTAGTGTCGAGGAGATTACGTACAACTTGGTCGGGCAACGCCATTCCAATAACTCGAGGTGCCGTGTACCTGTCTAGTATCTACATAGTACTGTTGCAATGTCTGTTATCCTGATTTTTTCGTCTC